AGAAATAAGTAGGAAAAGGGTATACTAAAAATGAATTGAATTTGATGTACCATGATTTGATATGATAATACTGAAATGTATGTGCTAAAATGATTGAAAGGACTAATATGTTCTGGAATGTGATACTAATCTGACTGAAATGATGCATTGATTAATATCATATACATACAACATGATAATCCCACATGATACCCTTAAGATTCATTGTTTCACCGATAAGAGTTATAAGGAGCTAGAGACTGATTGTGAGTTATAAGGAGTCAGGACGACTGATCCATATGATTTAATGGAAGTTATAAGGAGTACATTGATTGTGGACCATAAAGGGTGACTAATTGGGAGTCATAAGTGCATGAAAAAGATATCCTCATCTGAATATCTGATAAAATATTGATTATTAATTATTGATATTGATTTCTACTTATTGATAACTGATACTGATTACTAATTGATATTGACTATTGTTATTGATATTGTACGGACAACGACCTTACGGATACTGATTTCTATTATTGCTTATTGCAACTGAATATGAACACTGACACTGTTTTACAACTACATAACTGATAAATTGATGAAAATAATTAAATGATATGATATGATTGAGGAAAATTAATTGAATAATTAAGATAAAATGATTGATTGTTTGATATAGGTGACCGATACAAATAGCATATATTGATTTATAGATTTTCTTATATGATTTATAACATAATGTTTCTCTTATGCCTTGTATTGATTTAAGTTGTAAGATTTTAGTAATTTGTTTAGCTTTTATGCTCATTATATGGTTTTACATGTTTAAAGGAAAGGGTAAGGATTTTTTGGCATGAGTTACTGGATGTCATGCATAGTTTTATTTCCACACTATTAGCTTAGTTTTCTTTCAGTTCATCTGGTTTACATATATTCTTTTGTAGCCAAGGTTATTGTATTTATTATTTTGGTCTTTGAATGTAAAATGTAAATATTTATTTTAGTAATGTAAATTATATTTTTTCGTTATTTATATTACTTTAATGCAATTAATCATCTTTGGATATTAAATTGATCTGGTTGTTAAATAAATTTTAAAAGAAATATAACGAGGAAAAGATAATAATGAGAAAAAAAAGAAATTCTTTCACTTTAGATTTCGAGGTGTGACACTTTGGACTTTTGTCTGGGTTGGAAACTGAGAAAACACTTGCGATTCAATGTGTTATGTGGCCCTGTGGAATAGTGGCAACAATAGGTTTCACAATCGGTTGTTGGAGTGAGGTTTTGGATCGACAACTGGCTCTTGATAGTGCCTTTTGGGAGTATAACTCCAACTATGTCGATTAAGCTGCATTTCATCCTTTAAGGCAAAATTGACAGCCTGAGATAAAGACCAAATATAATTCAATTCCAATTTATCTTGAATTGCTTTCTGTAACCCTCCAATGTATCTTGCCACCGATTGATTGGTTGATTCATTCTGGTTGTTTCATGCACTCAGCTTATAGAATTCCTCGGTGTATTTGCTAACGGTGTGGGTTCCTTGAGAGCAGTGTTGGTACTTCATGTAAAGCATTTGTTCGAAGTCTGTGGGAAGAAGATGTCCTTGTAGCAAGTGTTTCATTCGATTCCGGACTACGAACACACTCTTTGCCTTCACGCTGTCTGGTTTGTAAGAATTGCTACTACTGAGCGCCTGCACCCCCTTTCAACCTACAAGCCACATACTTCATATGTTTTTCAGAGGCTATATCCATATACTCGAAGAAAGTCTCCATAACTCTTTTCCAATCTAAATATTATTCAATTTGCAATCATCCATCGAAGAAGAGAATATCAAGCTTAATAGGAAATTTATTTTGAGACCGATGGAACCTGCTGTCATTTGCACCACGAAATGTATCATTGAGAACATAATTTTCATCCTCCGAATCAGACCTCCCGATAGTTTGTTGGAATTCTAGTTTGAGCTATGAATCAGAATTTTAGCAAACAGGGGGTTGGATGTCTCCTTATCGTTCGAGCTCCCAGAGTGTGGGCTATTGCCATCGGTATGGTTTTGCGGTGCAACATTGGATTGATGCTAGCACCCTGTCTGAGTCTGCAGCTCATGATGAACTTCCACTGTGAAACGAAAGAATTTGGCGGAGAGGGTTTCCAGTTGTTTGACGACGTTTTTTTTTGCATCGCCAATAATGCTTCTAAGCTCTGATCACCGTCAAGAGTCACCCGTGAACTTCCCTCAGCCATTTAAGCCCTGGATGTGCTGTTCCTCTGATACCAGTGTGGTGTAGAAGCTCACTAATGAACAACAAGAATAAGGAGAAGCGGGAGAGACATGAGAAAATAAGAAATACTATCTTATAAACAAAGTTCTATTTTTCTGTAAAACTGAAAAATCATTGCCTTCTGTTTGTTACATATATGTCTAGGCTTCTTTCTGTTGCCATATCAAGCCACCACAAATTAATGTTAGATTATAATAAATAACTGAAAAGGACAAAATACTCAGAATAACAGAGAAGAAAAAACGTGTTAGTGACAGTGAAGTATACCTTCTTAAAGATGCACCACTTCACAAAGTAATGGAATATTTAATCATGGAAGGGCAATCATTGTAGTTGCTAGCACAATCTGCGCTACAAACAACTTGGAAGTTTCCAACATTGATTAGCAAATACTGCTCGCAAATATAACGGTAACCTCGATTTCCGAATGGTACGGCAAATCCTAATAAAAACACAGCCCATACAACACGTTTTGATTGCAGCCTAGTTAGATGAACACTTGCATAGTTTTTGCTTTCACTGTAATGATAATTACCAACTGAGGACATATTTATCATGCCAAAATATGTGTGTTTATAATGTTGAATGATGTACAAGATCAGACTAATGACCAAAGTTCATTAAACAATAATACTTCGACAAATTTAATAGAAGTGCTACACATTAGATTTGATGCATTAAATTCAATGGTCGAGGAAGACTTCTAAAATAGCCTTCATAATACATGAGGTCACTATGAATTTGTAGAATGCCTTTTGGCTTAACAAACACATAGTATTTCAGATCGTGATGAATAGTATTCTCCCCATACTGATGTTGGTTTGAATTTGTATTTTTTAATGATATTATGATACATAGTAGATCACTTATAAAGCACAAGAACTATCTGCAATTGGTTCTGGTTACTTCAAAAATAGTTGCAATGTTTTAAGCCTACTAAGTACGCCTTTGCTGAATCCCAAATAGAATACGCGGGGCACATTACTTCAGCAAAAGCCGTAGTTGCAGATCCAACCAAATTAGGCGCAGTTCGGCAGGGCTACATCCAAATTTTCTTAAATAGTTGCATTGATTTTTGGGTTTACCAAGTTATTATCACAAATATGTCCGACATTATGCTTCAATTGTTCTTTCATTGGGTAGAGAAGGCAGAGATTTATCGCATTACAACAGTCCATTACTTCATTTATCTATTCTGATTTTTTTCAAAATTTTACTTACCATTCATTGAGAAACCGATGCATTTGGCATTGCAATTGGTGTTGTATTACTTCAATGGCTTACTTTACTAAGAAATTATCACCAACAATGTAGAAAGCTTCCATTTATGCACGCGAATTGCATGCTATTACCGTACGGGTTGGATGTTCACGACGACATTTATTGGGCAATCATTTTATCATTCATACCGATCAATGCAATAAGTTATACCCACATTAGAATAACAATGATTTTTTATCAGATTATGAGTCATTGGTTATACCATCGAATATAACCCACGAGCATCCAACAAAGTAATTGATGCCTATGCCAAGTAGAAGAAAATGATGGGCCAGCACAAACAATACAAGCCCTAAATAAACAGAGACAATAACTTGGAACAACTGCTAACAAAAAAGTCTATGTGTTTGGATCAATTATGATCCGAACAAAAGTTGAGATTGCATTGAAACCACATAAAATTAACTATATCTTATAATTTAATATCATAGAGCCCTCATAAAAAATAACATAAATCACATAAAAAATTGCACCTCAATTATGACATCTCTAATATAAAAATAGATCCAAAAGAATTTAACATAAATAAATGCTAGATAAAAGAAAGTATTTTAAACAAATGTGATAAGATCATATTTCTAGCTTTTTATCTAACATTAACAAATAAAAAAATGCTTATTATCTAAGAAGAATCAAGAAATTTTTTAGGAAGCTCAATGGTTGGTGTCTGCTCGCATGAAGGAAAAATCAGAGAGATGAGTGCCAATGTCTGCTCATGCGTGGAGGAGAAACCAGATACCGAGATAAGAAGATCAAGCACGGCTACTACAATGTTTGCATGTGGAGGAGAAAATGATGATAAGATGAGAAGGTACAGCGGGGCCTAAATCATTTATTCTTGTACTCTCTCTTTTATTCTGTATTAAATCAGTCACCCAACGAACCCAAGATACATGAGATGCCATCTCGAAGACGAAATATGATTTGCTGTGCTTTCGTACTCTAGTGGTGTGCAATGAGCACATGAGAAGGCTACGACATATGACTCCTCCACTTAGTAGCGCTCCACCTTTGAAGCACGTTTTGAACAACATTGAGAGCTAGCAGTTTCCTTCTGAGGACAGGCTGAAGCTTTTACATATTTTTTAATTCAGGGGAAAATGTGTTCTCTACAATCAATCCAATTAATCTCCACCATCAAAAGGCTATCAAGCCCGTCTAATAAGTTAACCTTCCTTGGGTTACCTAAAATGCAAAAGCTACCAAAATAGCGTTCTAATTTTGGGGTATTTAATTTTGTAAAATTGAAAAAGAAAACGTCTGATTTTGGTTGCTGTTGAGTTCAGCAAGAATAATAAAATACCTCTTTTTTTTCTTGCTTTTCTTAAAACAAGTCTTCTGATGTTGTCGATGGTTTTGATATGTCTCATTGATAACGTTATAAAATAATGAATCTTATTTCATTTATGCCATTATGTTAAAGCACTTGTGTCTTCATTCTGATATATGCAGGAGACAGGTTCTAGCTAACAGTGGAATCGCATCCATCTTGTTAATTATATTGGCTACATTGGCTAACGGACAAGATCGATGCTTGGATACTAATGAGTCGAAGATTATAACTAGTCTTATGGGTGGTATAATTGGCCACTATGCCTGCTGCAATGGAGATACATGGTCTTCAGAACTTGGAATACTAAGCGTTACACAACCTCGGTTAATCACAACTTTCAAGGTACAAAAATCTTTCAATGTTCATTGCTTTATAAATTTCCATTACCTCATTCTCAGAACAATTTGATGTTAAGTTTCCATGAATCACTACTTAATGGATGAAAATATAATTTAACCTTTTTTATCAGTTATACTCTTCAAATCTGAATATGTGATGTAGAACTTCAAATTGTATTTTCCTGAAGTTTTCCATGACGAGGCTAAAGGTAATAGCATCCAATGATGCAATCAAGTAAAATTTATAATGAAATTGTATGCATTTATTGATTTTGTTATCTTCAAGTACCTTAATCATCTGAGCAGGTCAACTTTCCTCTGATCATCATGAGCAGGTCAACATTCCTCTGATCATCTTCATTATAATGATCAGAATATGATTCCCAACTTTCCTATATTATTGGTTATTTTCCCTTGCAGTTCAATAATTTCATGCTTCTTTCCCATCCAACTTATCATTCTAAAGTTATGCTTAAAGCTAAATAAAAAGCTGATATCATGTAGTGTTTTTGATTATCTAATCTTGAGCTGATCCAAACCTGGTTTAAGATCAACTCAAAATCTTTCAATCCGAAACAAGGCTGATTGTAGGCTTGTTTGATCCAACCGTATCTTTGGTAAAAATTTGGAGAATTGGTTATGTATTTTAATCCTTCATTTGTGTTAATTTATATATCTTATGAGAACTTATAATCAGAAAGATTAAAAAAATTAGAGACTAAAAAATAGCTATAGAACTAATTATAATAAGACAGTTCCCATGAATTGGTGTGATGGTAGAAATTATCACATGGATCACCGAAGGTGTCAGTGAAAGGAGGTAGACGGATTGGGGCACTAGAGGTGGCGGACAACCATGTGCTGGAGGTAGATAGCTCTCTAGGGAGAATTCGAGGGCAAATTTTAAGCATATTTCTTACACTCCCACTCAAGCGGATGAATGTATATTATCTTTTTCAGGCTTACATGATAATTTTTAAATATTGCCATTAATAATCCTTTAATGAGAATGTCCACAAGCAGTTCTTTTGTGGTACGTATGTTGTACTCCTGTGGTAATAAATGGAGTACAAATTAGGCCGTTGTCATTAATCTCTTTTATAAAAATTTTATAAATTTTAACGTGTTTAGTATAATCCTGTTGCATGAGATTAGGTACAATATTAATGGCTGACTTGCTATCTCGATAGATTTTTATAGGGTATATGTATTCAATCTTTAAATATTCTAGGACAATTTTTAGCCATTGCAATTCACAAATTCATTATAACATATATCTAAGTTTGGCGGCTGCGCAACATCTTGCTACTTCATTTTATTTTTTCTTATCTAAGTCATGAGGTTGTCCCTTAATAATGTGCAATATCTTATAGTTGACATCCTATCAATCATATAACTGGCATGATCAACATTTGTGTAAGATTCAAGACTCAAATTCTCCCATTTTTTGAATAAAATCCCTTTACTTGGGTTTCCTTCAATTATTGTAAATTCAATGTACTGCCCTGAGGAGTGATTTCTTAAGATTGGGCACCACACCAACAATATAAGCAATGTCATGTCTAGTATTTGGTAATTGGATAATTCTTCTCGCTAATCTATGATGACAATATGAAGATGAAGAATTCATATCAACAGTATGCAACATCAATGCTAAGGAAGTAATTTGCTTAATTCTTTGACTTCAAATTCATGGAGTGGCCTTTTTTTTTTTTTTTATGATCGCTTTCTTTCACGTCACTGCTTGCTATGATAATATCGTCAATATTTTTTTTTTAATTTTTTTATATAAGGTTGGAGACTTTGTAATATAATGTCGTCAATATAAACTATAGTAATGTAGAGAGTTCCCTTGATGCCGTATGTTTCACAAACAATGTATTGTCTCATTAAATTTATTTGTTATCATATGTTTAGCTTTTCTTTGTTGAACTTTCTAAACTACATGCTTACAGATTGCTTCAACTCACTGACACGGTTGCAGAAGGGGCATTGAGGGGCTGCCATTCCCCTACTAGCCCAGCTCATTAATATTAGGCTAAATTTTGTTATCAGTACCATTTATCACCTAATAACCCTGTTAATGTAGGGTTATGTTTAGAATTATGATTTACAGGTGGTTTTGGCCCTCATTCTTGATTCCATTCAACTTCACTGCTCAGTTCGGCTTGCCGCCTTAGTCCTCTCCCTCACCATGAATCTCCCTCCTCTCTCTCTTTCGTCCTCTCATCCTCATCTCTTCTCTTATATATATATATATATATATATAGATGTTGTGTGCTTTGAATTCCCCCTCTTGGCAGCTTTCCCACCGTTTTCTATGTCCTTGGCTACTGTGTGTTGCTTTGGATTCACTCCCTAGCCACTGTCTGCGATTTTCTGTGTCCTTGGCTGCTGTGTGTTGCTTCGATATTACCCTTGGCTGCTGTCCCTTGGGTTTTGTTACTGTCTTTGTGTGTTCATATTGGCTGAATGGTTGGTGCTTTTATTTCCTGTATTTAATGCCTTTTCTCTATATTTAGGGACTGTTTTTCCTGAGTTGGGAGAGTTTTTGGTGAAGAATTTACATACAAATCTGCGGGTTTTTAGCTTGCGAGCTAGCCTCATTTCCCCTTCCCCTCTTATACTTCGTCTCGGTCTTCTAATCCCTTCTTCACTATCCACGGTTCTTGCCCCATTTGTATCCTTCTTCTCTTATGAGCTTGGTGGTGTCTGCTGCCACGTTTTGTTTGGTATTTGCCGAATCGTTCTAGTGGTGGATTTCGGGTTAGATCTATCCTTTGAGCACCTATCCTTTTATTTCGAGCTTTGCATGTGAGGTAATCGCTTGTTGGCTGTTATGAGGGTAGCCTTGTTTTCATTTCTTTATGTTTACGGATTTTGATTTATATGTGGATGTAAGCTTTAATGAAAGGAAGAAGTTCCCTATTGCTTTCCTAAGTGTTCTCCATAAAATTTTTAGAAACTTAGGTTGCATCAGGTTTGCAAAGCAGATTTTAAGCATGTTTTTGGCAAGCAAAAATTTTGTTTTATCAAAATTGTTTTTTCATCTAGGCTCAGCTCTATTCAAGTTTGATCAAAGCTAGGGCTGACTTATTAGTCGGCCTATTAACTTCAATCTAAGCTTGATCAAAGCCAAAATGTAATCTGATTTTTGGGCAATCGTTGATCTTTGAGTCAAGTTTATAGCCCATCATATTTATCCAAATAGAATGGTCGATTCGATTTTGACAAACCTTTTGGTGTGGTATTTTTTCCCGACATCTAAAAATAGTGAAAGTCTTCTTGATCTGCATATTTCTTTGCTATTCTCGCTGCTTGGCATGATTAAGCCATCCTTTTATTAATTTATCTTTCTTTTAAACTGATGTGATATTATTAAACCGTTAACTTGCTTTTGTTGATCTTCATTTCTTTCCCCGCAGACTGTACCCAAGGGTACAAACGGTGGGATCACTCTAGATGGACTTCTGGCAGCTACAGTTGCTGGCATCGTCATTGGTGTTCCTTATATTCTTGTTGGACTGATCACGGCTGAATGTTCTGCAAATGTAGCTTGGAGGCAGCTTCTAGTAGTACCAGTTGCTGCATTTGCTGGGCTTTTTGGAAGCCTGGTAGATTCATTCATAGGTGCAACGCTACAATTTAGTGGATATTGTAGCGTGCGAAAGAAGGTAACGCTTGCATTTGAGAAACTCACAATCTGTATTCGTTTCTGAAATTTTTTTTAAGTTGGAATATTTGCTTTAACTTGCTTAAGGTGGTTGCCAAGCCTGGACCAACTGTGGTGAAGATCTCAGGAAGGAACATTCTGGACAACAATTCAGTTAATATGGTCTCTGTGCTTTTGACATCACTGCTTACTTCCATAGCATGTATTTACATCTTCTAGGTGCTTAATTAGCGTCACAACTCAACCCGGAGGCTCGGATCATTGAGGTGGGAACAAACAATCGGACGTAAGGTTGAAATATAACATACAATCTATATACCATTAATTCTTAAAACCATTTATTTTTGTTTCTTTCTTTACATGCATGTAAAAAACTTCTTATATCACAAAAGAACTACTAAACTAAAATTTTCATTATCATGAAGGTTTTCTCATATTTCTTAAAATAATATAATTGACAAACAAGAGACATTTGAAAGTAGAATATCTAAACTTATCTATACATAAAATAAAATTATACATGCACCTAATGTTAGTTGCTAGTTGTCATATTAAGTTGTAATTCCATCATAAAACTGAATTTTTCCGCTTTTTGTTACATATTTATGAATTTTATTATGCCTTGATTGATAGTTAAGGCATAATTTTATATACATATCATTTTATATCATGCTATTTACATATCTAACATCCTAAATTTTAATATTTCGTGCCTGCCACCCAAGATAAAAAATGGGTATAAGGAATGAAATATTAAAGTTTACAGGGTGGTATGGGTGATAGGAATGAAATATATGAGTAACATATTTAATATTAAAGTTGTTTATGTATGCTAGACATGAAAAATTAAAGTTTTGAATGTTAGATATGTAAATAACATGCTATAAAGTGGTATGTATGTAAATCTCCCTTTACCTATACTTAGTATATTTGTTTTAGGGGCACCTTTTATAAATCCAACTCACTTATGGTTGATAACCTTGTCTGATACCTCACATGTTGTCACAAGGGGTGTAGGATATACTTTTACTATTGTTTGAGGTGGTAGATGAAGTCATCAATATTTGGGTACCTTAGGGTCTCATGTTAGTACCATATTGGGTGGCTCCATTATTTAACATGCACAAATAAGCATGCGTATGACTCATTTCTTTATTTCATTCATCTTTACATATATTATCTATTAGTAAGAAACATTGTAATCAATTGTGGCTAGGGGTGTAAACGAGTCGAGTCAAGCTCAAAATTCGAGCTCGTGCTCGAATCGTCTCATGTTGAGCAGCTCGTTCAGCTCAGTCCCGAGTTGGCTTGTCGTTGCGTTCTCTATCGTCCCGAGGTTCATCAACATCGCGTTCGTTGTGGAGCTTTGTCATCTTGAGCTACGTCGTCGAGATCCGTTGTCACGAGCTTGTTGTCGCGTTCGTCGTCAAGATCAGTCATCATCACATCCGCTGTCGAGATCCGTCGTCATGAGCTCGCTTGTCGTTTTGGTTTTCTCGCCTGACCTTTGATTCGTCCTCCTACCCGCAACAACAGATATTTCATTTTTCCGCCCAGTCACCTTCGCGAGCTGCTTGTCCAGCCGATGAGTCGAGTCCGAGGCCTGTTTGAGCTCGATCTCAATAAGCCATCGAGCTCGAAATTGTGTTCGAGCTCGATAAGCTCGTCTCGCTGAGCCTATTATCGAGTCAAGTCTGAGTTGGCTTGCAAGTCGGCTTGACTCAGTTGCACTCCTAATTGTGGCAAAATGTAAGCATACTTCATTTCTAATAATATGAAAAATTATTTGCAACATAAAAAAGTTAATTGTAGGCTGGTATGAATCTTAAACATATTGATTATACACAATAAGTTTAGAAGGAAGGAATTGTACTTCAATCTAGAAATGAGATAGCCCACCTTAATTTGTGCAATTCAAGTTCTTTTTTTAATAAATCAATTTCAATTCTAAGTAAAAAAAGATGCACATTGAAAATTATTTTAATTCTTCTTTAATCATAAATTTACATAATCTTCAACTAATTTGCTTTGATACTCAATAATGTTAAAATTAAAACTAAAATTTTTAAATAATTATATAGAATATCACATAATTTCATGATATAATTTATGTTATAGAGCATGAATTTATGTTATAAATTAGTAAAATATAATTTATAAAATGATTTAGACTTCATTTAGGATAATTTTCTTATTGCTTTTTAAGATAATTTTTAAGTATAACTTTTTTAAATAAATTTATATACTAAAAAAATTAAAATTATCTCAAGTGGAACGTTAGATACATTTCCTTTCGCTTTGCCCCAAGTTATGGATGATGTCCGCATAAGATCCTGCTTCCATAGTAGACGAATTTGTTCTATTTTTGCAGCCATGTCAAAGAAAGAAACATAGAATAAAAAAATGATGCACTAAGATTATCCGAGTTGCTGAATATTGGTTTGAAAAATGGAGAGAAAACTAACTGTCATTAAGAATTTTTATGATGGCTCAATTTGCTTCAAACTTCACAATCTGCAGTACAGTATACATTCCAAGTCATCATGTTTTAGAATGATTACTTGTTCAAAATTCAAGTGAAAGGTTGGTTCTAACCAAATGATTAGCCTTCATATACATAAGCCAAAATTTTGAATTTAAGATTAATTCAATCATCGATGTATCGGATCATTAAAAGAGAATCATAAATTAAGGCTTCTTGTACTAAAAAATTGCTTAAAAAAGCAGTAAGAAAGCCGTTTCAAATAAAGCTCAAGTGTTATTAAGATGGAGAAGCTTAGGTGGATGAGCGTTTTTACTATTAAAAACAATGTGAATCGAGTATATGCATGAAAAGGTTGGAGTGACTCTAGTGATGGATAAAATTAGAGAGTTGTCTTAGATGGTTTGGTGGTAATAGAAAACTTTAACCTTCTGATGGTCTAATGAGGAGAGTTGATGTATTAGAATTGGTCTATATTAAGAAAGATAGAGTTCAACTTAAAAAAATTTGGTTATAAATTATTAGAAATGAGATTTTTTTTTATTAGATTTATATAAGAATTTGACTATTAATATGACAAAAATAACAAAAACAATATAAAGCCTTGTCCCACTACGTGGGGTCGACTACATGAATTCTTTTTCTCCTTGTGTCCTATTAAAAATCAAATTCTCGCTTAAATATAATAAAGAAAGATCATTTCTATTATTTTCTAACCAAGTATTTTTAAGTTTAACTCTACCTTTCTTAATATAATTAAAATCTAGTGCCTCTATTTTTCTAACGGGATCATCTAAAGGCCGTCGTATTTTTGTGACCAAACCATCAAAGGCGACTCTCTAATCTTATCTTCCATTGGAGCTACTCCAACCTTTTCATGTATATGCTCATTTCATATTGTCTCTAAGGATAAATACAGTCATCCATCTGAGCATCCTCATCTCTGCAACACTTAACTTAGTATTATGCTTCTCTTTTAATGGCCAACATTTTACACCATAAAGTAAAATGATTCATGAAGTCAACCCCATGTACTGTGATACATACTTGATATTATTGTTGTATTGATGTATCCGATCAATTTCAGTGTCCCTAAGAAGGTGATAAAATTGATACTTGGATGAGATATGGTAGCAAAAACAACTAGTTTTCTTATTAAAGATGGCAACAAATAAAAGATGGAGGACAATTAAAGTGAATTAATCCCTCCAATAAGCTAATTAAGAACATAACCAAAAGTTCTAAACAAAAACTGTCATGTAAAGTTTAATAAACTGCAAGCATTATTCTGAAGAAGGTAAGGCTCTGCGGCCATTTTCCCCTGTTTCTTCTGCTGAATTCTACTCGGAACAGCAGCAGCAAAGGCAATCAAGGCAGCACTCACAGGTCTCATAACAGCAGAAGCAGCAACACAGACAAAACAAGCTGGAATTATATAAATATTCATTAGCTTAATAAATTCATATAATTGCAGTAATCACTATTTTAAAAAGTAATTATTGAGATATGACGTTTATATGTCAATAATGAAAATAGAATAAGATGTGATGCAAAGTTGATCATTGAAGCATCAAAATATCTTTCTTAATAAAAAGAATATGTGCGGCTCGTGTTGCGGCATGACGGTTTAGGGCATGTTGAAAGCATTTGTGCCTCCAGCCTTTGAAACGTTCGAATTGGTTAATCTATCCCTTTTGTTTTTATTAAGATTTATAGAGATTTCTTATTTCAAATTTAAAAGAAAATTAATTTTATTATTATATAATTTACAAAATATCATATTCCCAATTATATATAAGCAAATCTTAGCTATTTGATGATGACTTTTGATACGTCATCACAAAATCATCTTGATCGGGCACGAATCTCGAGGCAAAAACTAGTTGGAAACTTCAAATATTAATTTCGGGAGCATATGAACTCCGATTTATATTGAATTAATTAATTGAAATTATTAATATTTAATCAAACAAACTAGATATATATTATTGCTTACCTTCCAATAAAAAACTAATTTTATCAACATAGAACTCGCTTAGGCTGTGATCAAAGACTTGTGTGTTTTTTTTTAGGGAAATAGAGGGAAGAATGCTATTATTATCCATTTTCATCTGAAGAAAAAAATATAAAAGGCCTAAATTATTATAGTCGGTGTTCTGATTCACAATTCAGATGCGTCACATCACTCAAATACATCCTGGCCCAATATATTCAAGTGATGTGACGCGTCTGAATTGGTGTCCCGAATCGACGGAAACAGGGGACGAAAGGAGAAGCTCTTTTCATCAAGAGAGAGAGAGAGAGCTGGCAGAAGATGAAAAGCTTCTCTCTGCAGCAATAATCAACTGTTTCCTATTGTTTCACACAGAAACAGAGCAAGCCTTTTTCCCAAAAAAAAAACAGAGCAAAACTAACTGTGTAGAGAGAGAGTGAGAAAGAGGTAGAAATAGCTGAGGGAGAATATCAAACATTCTCTCTGCTCCAAAAAAATTAATTTTTCCTGATGAATCACAAAGAAACAGAGCAAACATAACTGTAGAGAGAGAGAGAGAGAGAGAGAGAGAGAGAGAGAGAGAGAGAGTTGAGGAAGCAATCTACCAAGCATAAAGGCAGCCCTTTTCCTCATGCCGACGCTGCACGTGGTCGAAGTAAGACATCTCCTGGGCGCCCGGCGGATACATCTTCTCTTCCTCCTCCTTTCTTTAATAGTAACTCCGACTTACAGTGACAGCGAGCGGACGAACGAGGGCGGAGTAGGCTGTTCTGAGAACAGAATTCTCTCTTTATATAGATCGGAGACAGAAGCTGAGAAAAAACTCGACAGAGTTTGTAAAAATAAGAACTTTTGCTTGATTTGTGGATGGTTTCCTTTCTTTTACTCGGTCTTGGTAATTTTATCCTATCCGCGTCTGCTAAGAGGCGAGTTTCCTGTGCGCAACAGGAAGTGGACCAGCTTACTTTGACGCATCGCCACCTTCTCCATTAAATTTCATTGATGGCTGCTCATCGAATCTTCCATCCATAATAATCTCCTTCCAGCTGTTCATTTCAGTTTTAAGCCAAGTTGTTTTTTCTACCTCGCTTAGTAAAAAATCATAGGAGATTTATTGCGGTAAAATAGATTTTTTTTTTCAAAGATTTAATTGTAAGAAATTATTTATTATCATAAAAATTTCTTGAAGGCCTCATTAAAATTAATGTCAAATAAACATATGATAATATTTTGAAAACAAAAATTGTAATAGCTAAATCATACTTGAGTTTAAATAGTTAAGGAAAAATCACGGGGCATGAACCAACTAAAATGATATTAGTGATATTTATTATCGGTTATAAACGATACCTTTTCTCGTGATTGGGAAATGTCCTGATATAATATAGTAGACATAGATATACGTAATAAATTGTGTGATGGAAGTTGGAAGAGCTCTGTGGCATATGAGTTGCCTTCAAGAGATCATTTGTTATTTATTTAATTATATATTTTTTTAAGAATGGGAGATCATATGCCAATAGGTAAAGCACAAATTTTGTTCTTGGCACCAATATTCAGAGTTTATGTTGATAGACAGTGTAAACTTTATTGATATGAATAGTTATTGTTGGCAATTCAATGAGCATTGGTGTAGCTAGTCCACATTGGACAGACATTGGTCGAGAGACAATCGCTAGGGAATTATACTCAAGTGATGGGAGTCGGAGAACCATAGTTAGGCAACTCTGTCAAGAAATCATAGTTTGACGATAATGGTCAAAGGATCATAGTCTAGAAACGATGGTAACGATATCGCAATCGATGGATGGTAGTCAAAAAAATCATATTTGAACAATGATGGCTAGAAGACTATAATCAGTCAATAATATTTGCAAGAGAATGATGGTGGTTAAAAGATTGTAGTTGGGTGAATGTGATCAGAGAATTATAGTTGAATGATGGTGATTGGAGGATCATAGTTGGGCAACGATGGTCATAAAATTGTCGGAGGATGATAGTGTTCAAACAATCGTCATATGGTGATGGGGGTTGGAGGACTATAGTCAACCAATGATGGTCAGAGGATAATAGTTGGACAATGATGGTCAAAGCACTATAATTGAGTGACAGAGGTCAGGTGACTCTGGTTGGGCGATAGAGTTAAAAAAAATTGTAGTTGGAGGATAATAGTTGATTGATGGTGGTTGGAGAATAATAGTTGATTGATGGAGGTCGCACTATATTTGGCTGACAAATGCCATGGGATCATAGTAGGGTTATAGTGGTCAGGGGATTGTAGTTGAGTAATGATGTTCAAAGGTCCGTAGTCAAGTGATGGTTGTTAGAGGATTGTAATCAGACAATAATTACAATTGCAAGAGTTATATATATATCTATTAAAAATGAAATAATATGAAAGATATCTTTCCACGTATTTATTTTGAAGTTGTTTAGACACTAGGGTGTTATATAATATAATGAAATAATTCATATATATATATATATATATATATATATATAAGGGTGGCTTGATTTGAAATAAATTATGTATAAAGTATTACAAATGTTACAAAATATTTTTTTAATAATATATATATAAATTCTCCATCATTATTATTATTTTTTGTCCATATCAAAATAAATGGGATAGGCAAAGAAAGAGACATGAGCTAGAGAGAGAGAGGTAAAGAGAAAGGGAGCATGAGTCATAGAGAGAGAAAGACATTGGGAAAAAGGGCGTAGTTAGGGTGGTCCCATGATGTGGGGCCTTTGGCTTCTTATTGTTTCCATTTTTTTAAAATGCAAATTTAAAATTGCTTTTAAAAATTTTCCCTATAAAAAATTATATTACTTTATAAAAGAACTTTTTAAATAATGAAAAAATCCCAGAAAAATAATGTGGATTGTGGTCTGTGGATGTGAAAAATGATGGTGGTTTTTTTTTTTCAATTAGAAAATAAAAAAAGTTAGAAAATTCATCAATCGGTTATGAGCTGCTTTAATTACTTTGTCAAAATTTGATAAAATTTTCAATTTGCCTCATGACCTTATGTGTTCTAGATGGTCATGCTTCAATCTAGGAAAAGAAACCAATCGATTTTGAATATCTTTATTACTTTGTCATATTTTTATATGATAATTGAAGATAGATGTTGAAAGTAGAGCTACGGAGGAAAATGACCGTTGTTGCTCTTTTTATAAGAAAGGAGGTTAAGCAATTAAATAGATATATGTCATGCATCGATGTTTGCATTATCATTGATGGGTGATCGTCTTTGATACGTCATACTCCTGGACGCAACGGTCTTGTTTGCTCTTCTGATGGGTGAGGATACCAGACGACTATGAAGATGGTCATTGAACATTAACATATGATAGGTGTTCATGAATTGGATAGCGATTGATGAGAAACATCAAAAGTTAAGCGAAAATGAGTTGGCGATATTATCCTTCTAATATGATAGGGGAGTTCGTAGTAGGAATCAAATCCAATGGTTGGTCCACCTAGTTGTTATTATGGTTGGAGGGGGTTGTGCGATTGATAAGGGCATAAAACATTTGCGGTAGATAAATGTTGAAAATATAATATCAAGCAATTTTAGGCATCATATTTCATTCAATGAAGAATATTAGAGATCAGGTGATGATAGTTGGTCATCTTCTTTATTCTCATTATAAAAAAAGAAGACCGGGGGACCAAGAAGATAATCATCAAACATCAATAATTTATGAACACTAAAGGTAAACGACCGCCATAGTTATTTATAGGTATCAAATTATAGCTGATAGGAAGTATTAAATGATGAAAATGCATAATTTGAATTAGGATGAAAATAATAATAGTATATTAAATAATTTTAACAATATTTCAAAATAAAATTTCCAATTTATAAATTAAATAAGCTAATAATTAGTTTAACTTGTTATCAAATATTCCATATTCATTTTATTATTATAATATTTGAAAGTAGGTCCTATATATATTATGTTAAATTTATAATAATCAATATAAAATTTAAATTTAATTTATAGAGAAATTTCAAGATTTATTTTTAGGTGGGTGCAATACATGATAAAAAATCAAGAAATCATAATGTCATTTGCATCCTTGTGCTACATTTTTTGTGCCTTCTGCATCCCATGTTTATATGATGCCCTTCATGGTATGCGAATTTTGAGTATTATTATCAAGCAATCTATTTTGTTTCCATCAGTAGATCGAGTAAGCGGTGCGGCGAGGTCTTCATAGAACTTAGGAACTGTTTGGGATAACTTTTTTATCGTTTTGTTTTTTAGGCAGCAATTATATTTTTGTTTGGCTATTGTTTTATTATTATTTTTCACTATTTTTTAGAAATTTTAATGGTGGAAATCTGTTTTACGTAATCATAGCAGGGAAGTTATTTTCTCCATAGCAAGTTCACAACCAACTTTATTAAACCCGCAGCTATCTCAAATAGACCCTCAATTGCAAAAAAAAAACACAAAAAGAATATTGCACTTGTTCACTAAGTATGAATATTTTCATGCAATTTGTAACGAATTGCAGTAGAATCATTGTTATTTGTTTATTAGTTAGAATATTGGATGAGCATAAAAAAATTTCCTTCTCAAATTAAGGATTTGTTTGGGACAGTTTTTTAGCTGGTTTACTTTTCAGACAACATCATAAGTTTTGCTTGGCTATAACTTTCTTATAATTTTTTTTAGAAATTCTATGATGAAAAGCTGCTTTTACAGTAATAACAATGAAGTCGTTTTCTCCACAGTAAGGCTTTGTTTGGGGCGGCTTTTTTAGTGCTTCTTAAAGCAACTTTTTAGTTCAAAAATTAAAAATTTTGTACTAAAAAGTAGCTTCATAAAGCAATAAAAAAGTCAAACGAAGCTTAAGTTTACGACTAACTTTATAAAACTTCAATTGTTCCCCAGTAAGTTTACAAACGGACAGGTAGTAATCAATCTGTAATTCATCGCAGTGAGCATTCAGTAAAAAAATTAATAAAAACAGTAAGAAAATAATCTCAGATGAAATCTGAATTACAATCATAGTAGGGAAGTTATTTTCTTCATAACATATTCACAATCAACTTTATTAAAGCCGCAGCTATCTAAAATAGACCCTCAATTGCAAAAAAAACACAAAAAGAATATTGTACTTAATGTTCACTAAGTATGAATATTTTCATGCAATTTGTAACGAATTGCAGTAGAATCATTGTTATTTGTTTATTAGTTAGAATATTGGATGAGCATCAAAAAATTTCCTTCTCAAATTAAGGATTTGTTTGGGACAGCTTTTTAGCTGGTTTACTTTTCAGACAACATCATAAGTTTTGCTTGGCTATAACTTTCTTATAATTTTTTTTAGAAATTCTATGATGAAAAGCTGCTTTTACAGTAATAACAGCGAAGTCGTTTTCTCCACAGTAAGGCTTTGTTTGGGGCGGCTTTCTTATTTCTTCTTAAAGCAACTTTTTAGTTCAAAAATTAAAAACTTTGTACTAAAAAGTAGCTTCATAAAGCAATAAAAAAGTCAAACGAAGCTTAAGTTTACGACTAACTTTATAAAACTTCAATTGTTCCCCAGTAAGTTTACAAACGGACAGGTAGTAATCAATCTGTAATTCATCGCAGTGAGCATTCAGTAAAAAAATTAATAAAAACAGTAAGAAAATAATCTCAGATGAAATCTGAATTTGAACGCACTTTTTGATCACTTCAAGATGGCCTTCGATTTCTTTTTTGCCGTTTGGTTCGCTGTTGGAAATGTAAATAGAACAAATGCTTTACATATTATTTTGGCGGATGGTCAAAAGAAACTTAGCTTCGTTTGGGACGGCTTTTTCATTGCTTTTTAAAACGGAGTTTTAGTACAAAAATAAATAAATTTATATTAAAATTTCGTTTTAGAAAGCAATAAAAAAGTCGTCCCAAACGAAGCCTTAATTTGTATGGTTGTAGCTCATTATTACACATTAAGTGCTACAGGTATGTTGCATTTGCCTGGCAATCCATGTTGATAATGATGGCCGGTTTCCATGTAATCATATATTTCAAAATAATTCTTTAATTTTTCGGATATTGATAAGTTAGTCTTAAATTTTCTTTTTTTTTTTTATTTAGTCTACTTACTATATAAAATTGATTCAAAATATTCTCTCGAAAAGAGAAATTATTATGTGCAGTCACCGAACTGTTTGGAGGTAAATCAGAACACGCTACGTCACCGGTGCACAATACTGGCACACAGAAAAAAAGTGACGTGACACGCTTTGATTTGTCTCCGGACACAGTTCATGACCGCACAAAATAATTCTTTCAAAAATTGATAGGATTTATGAGATTAATTTTGTCCATCCATTGAATAATATTGATCCAATTTCAAATCTCCAACAAATCTTTCGAGGCCAATTTTATATAATCTATGAATTAAATTGAAGAAATGTAATATTTTAAGACTGAATTAGTAGATAATCAGAAGATTATTTTGGACTTTTATCCATAATAGAAAGGCCACATTCTCATTCATGTGTTATATTCATCATGGAGCGAATTCTCTCGCCTGATTGTTTGGAACATTTTTGTTGCGAAGGCCTTGTGGGACTTTGAATCTAAATATATCTTTGGTTTGCTTTGAGAGAGTTCTATCATTTTCATATAGAGTATAAGCAAAGCTTTATTTTCGAGAAAACAAAATTTGGCTCATCATCAAATAACTTTTAAAGAACTCAGGCAAGCAAATAAAAGAAGTTATTTCAAACGAACTACCATTGGTGCTGCCTCACCATAAGAAATAAGAAAACCATACCGACAGTCCGCTCTACCATGTGATGATCTGGGGGCGTTTAAGGCAGGGAAAATTATTAAGTGCGGCGTGTGAATTTGTCCGGAGGCCAATTCAGACGTGTTACATCACCCGGGCCCAGTGCATCTGGGTGACATGACGCATCCGGATTCATTTCCAGACGGTCCGAACACCGCACGTAATAATCTCTCTTGAGGGAGCCATGGAAGCAAGAGTGCAAAGTTTTCTAAAGATTGGCGAGCAAAATTAGATCTCATAGTACAAAATTTTGTTTGAAAGTAGTAAAAAAATAATAGTCAAATAACTATTTACATGGCAAGCAAAGTAACAAACATATATACAATGAAATACAATTTCAGAGAACAATGGAGCACCAAGGTGCCATTCTCACATCACACTATGATCCCCACTAGTTAAAAATGCTAATCATCAGCAGAAACAGAGAATTTCCATAAGCGAAGAACAGCAGCATTGAAAGAGAGGAATATAAGCAGCTCTACGATGAAGATTGCTTTCCTGGCTTGACAAATTGTTTAACTTTTCTTGGTCTCCCTCTACTGATTGATGGCGCAGTGGCAATATCTACAACATCTTGAAAACATGAACTTTGCTCCACATCTGATGCAGCCACATCTAAGGCTGGCATGTCCCTAACATGGCTGAGAAGTCTGCTCAGATGCCACTCCACATAATCGAATCGATCCTTTGTTAATGCGGATTCCTGGATTATAATCGAGGCGAGAGATCGCAGCGCTTGCGACCGATACTTATTGCTGCTGCTTTTGGGAAACAGAGAGCTTTCTCGTCGCCAGCGAATCAACAAATACTTGTCAGGAATAAAGAAACAGTTCTTCAATGAAAGAACACGAAGAGCATGTCTGCATAATATGCCATTCGTTTCAAATCCTTTGCAGCTGCAGTGAAGGTCTTCGTCGGAAGGTACGCAGCTGACAAAATGCCCTCCATCAGACTTCAGATGGTGCCTTACAAGGTAATTCTCAGGTGCTGTTTCATATACTGCATATTGTGCTGATGCCATTATTTCCTTCTGAAACATGTCGAAGGCATAGCGTGTAAGAATTGTTGAAGCATGTTCTTCAATCGGCATGCAGGTTTTAAGATTGACAGAATGTTGACTTTCTCGTGTTGTTGCTTCTTCTCCTGCTTGATTCTGGAAATCAACTGCAACACCCACCTAAGGATAGAAGCAATCCCTAAACTTTGATGATTTCAGGGAGAATAATGAAATAATGCAAATTAAGAAGCTAAATAATCCTTAAGGTTTCATTTGGGGCGGCTTTCTTATTGCTTCTTAAAGCAATTTCTTAGTACAAATATTAAAATTTGTGTGCTAGGAAGCTGCTTTAAGAAGCAGAAAGAAAGCCATCCCAAACGAAGCCTAAAAGTTGTTTACCTGTTCTATGAAATCCTTCAGACGGGTCTGTGAGTGCAGGAATCCTTTAAAAAAAGATTGAATAGACAAGGAATGACCGACTGTCAACAAACCACCAAAAAACCAACCTTGCAAGTATGGTAATGCCCAGTAGAACCTGTTAGAATATAGAAGGGATACATGCTTATCTTCCCCAAGTCCAAAGTCCATGATCATATTAGCCCATTGATCCTCAAAGTCCTCCATAGTCTCTAAATCACATATCCTCTGGAACTCAATTCTAAATCTATCAAATTCAGCACCGAGCAAAGCAGAAAACCAGCTTGGTAGCTTGGATATTACATGCCAGATACAGAAGGCATTCTTCACATTAGGAAAGTTGGTCAAGATTGCATCTTTAAGCTTCATATTTAGGTCAGTCAATACTGTCCGTGGGAATTTTCCATCCATTAGACGGATAAAAGCCTATATTTTTATAGACAGCAAATTTTGTTAAAATCAATGGCTTGATTGTCTAGGAAGATTGAGCAAAACAAGGCGAGGCCATTGCGCCTCACAAACATCTCCAAGATGAGAGCCATTACTAAGGAGTGCCTAAGCAAGCGCCAACAGATTGCAAGACAAACATCTTGCCTTCATTTGAAGAGATGGTTGTTAAAATTTTAAACACAAAAAAGTGAGTTATCATGATGAGAATTTGGCATTAGATGATATGAAAAGAGCATCAAGAGTATGAGAAACAAGGATGTATACTTGAAAATTAATTAGACAAATCTTAAATAGAAGACCTTCAACTTCTGAAGTAGTAGGATAAAGAAATTGATTTTTAAGATATAGAACAAGAGATAGGAGCCTAGAAATCCCGTAACAGGAAAGAGAGCATATGAATATTGACAAAGATCCAATAGAATATACTGAAAATTAAATTGCCCTTAAGTTAGCATGCTACAAATTTAAGTAGTTTACTATATTTGTTTAAGATAATCTATTAACAAAGAATTTTGAACATGGAATACAATAGAACTTGAAACTTAATAATTTTCTATGCTTATCATAATGTGAAGATCCTTGTTAAATAGTCTTTAAAAACTATTCATCCTACTTAGGCTTCATTTGGGACGGCTTTTTTAATGCTTCTTAAAGCAGCTTTCTAATAAAAAATTAAAAGTTTTATACTAAAAAGCTAATTTAAGAAGCAATAAAAAAACCGTCCCAAACAAAACCTTAAACTTAGCTCAAAAGCAATACTATTTGTTTAATTGTCTCATCTTGCTCAAACGAGCTACTAGGATTTTACCTTGAGAGTGTCTAGCACATTTGATAAGACTGATCACAACATGCATCAATAATGGAAACATAGAATGCGTGAAAACAACAAGTAATATATATTCATTCTTCTGGGATGGGGAAAAAGAATTTTACCTGCAAGGACCATGCCAATGACTCTGGCCTTTCATCTAGCAAAATAACACAGCAAAAGAATATAGTGTGTCCATAATTATCGACCCCAAACCAAACTCCTACAGGCCTATCATATGCCTTCAAATGGAAGGTAGTGTCAAAAACGACAACATCGCCAAACAATTTAAATGCACGGATAGAACCAGCGTAAGACCAAGCAATATGCTCTAGCTTATTGTTCTCATCTGATAAGAAATCATAACGAAAATCAGGATTCTTCTCCTTCATTGCCCTGCAAGTTTTAAGAAGCTCCGACCCATCGCTCTCCCGATTAATGCTCTTGGAAGCTTGAAGAAATGTCTTCACATCCCTCTCACCATATGCCAATTGACCAGCACTCGGTCCTCTTTCCATCTCAAGAGCCCTCAATATAAGAGGCTCTGTACAGCCACTCTTTGCAAGAGCAAGAATTTGATCCCGGTCGACTGCCAATATATTTCGATGGGGCGGATATCGCACTTCACTGCTATCCATCAACTCATGATTATGATCATTGTTAAAATTAAATACCACCCATCTAGTAACTCCTCCAGAAATATTCTTCTTTATAACCATTTGTGCCTCGCATTTACAGCGTGAGGCCTTTCTATTCCTTTGCCGCTTCACATCATCAGTTTTCCGTGGCAAAGGAGGTCCAGCACGGTGGCAAACAAGCTCGCGCTTGTAAACTCCCATAGGATGTTCAGGATTCCCCTTTGATCGCTCACGCCTGACCGAGAATCCATTATTTCGAGCAAAGTTGCTATAATACTCGAGGGCCTCTTCATCACTATGGAAAGATTGCCCAACATATGGTGGGAGAATGTTTGTGGCAACCTCTGAGCAAATCTGGCTTCCTCCCACTAAATAGTTGGGGTCCCCAGATCCCATGGATTCAAAGACTGAATGTCCTTCCTCCCCTTCTGTGATGATATAGCATTGATCATCACCACAAGGGCATGACCTCCTTTGAACCAGTCCATTAGATGAGATTTTTATCATCTTTTAATCTTTCTGCATAAATCAAGTATGGATGAGATCCATGTAAAGCAGGAGCAGTGTAAACATACACCATAAACATGTAGCAGAAAAAATTACAAAGCACCAATAAATGCTAAATTTTGTCAAACATGGAACAGATACTCGGCATGAATAGGTAACAATAAAGGACAAATCTTTGCTAAAGCTACGTAGAAAAAGAAACCCATTTGTTAAACACCTATACATAGAATAATTCCATGAAGAATTTAACCAAACTAAATTTTTCTAAGTGGAACTACTATAATTATAGCTTCTGTTATTTCTTCTTCACTTTGCATGAAATAAGGGCAAAGATTTAGCAAAGTTGTAAAAGAAACCCGAGCATTTTTTATTTCGTGCAAATTTGTCAAGTCTCCAAGTTTCTCCCAAGTAGAAATAGAAGAATTAACTATATGGGCACCAATTGAGGAAGAAAAGAAACATTTCAGTAGGGAGAAAGTGTGAAAATCTTAGTGTCAGGCTTTTTTTTTTATGGAGAGGGGAAAGATAAGTGATAAATCAAAAAAGTGCGGCACGAACGGAGACCTTAGAGATACACCAAGCCCCTTAACGAATGAGTCACGGTGATGGAGACATCAGATCGTGGAAGGTTTATTAGAGACCTGGCCGCCGATCTATGGCCACGATCGAGTCTTTGTATTTCTGAGTCCTTTTTGTTATGTCATTATTTATGTATTTTTATTTGCTTATTGCTATTTTGGTCTTTCCGTTTGTACCCCTTTATTGGGATGTGTCATGTATGAGCCCAAAGGGCAATTGAGTCTTTTATTTTCTTTGAGTCCATTGTACTTGGCTATATATAGCCCTTTGCTTATTGTTTCATTGAAAGGAATGATTGCTTATTAAAAATTTCTTCTTGCATAAGCATTGAGAGCTTGAGAGTTCTAATGGAGAGAGCTTCCTAGGAGAGGAAGAATATTGGCGTAATACCCACCAACCTAGATAAGTCGGGGTCGTGGTTTTCTTCATTTATCCCGTTTCTTTCCCATCCGTTGTTTTCTTTTCTCATCCCTCAATCCAAAATTCACCAAGCCACCAAGCCCATTCACCTAGCTGAAACTCTTAACCTTACCTCCTACCCACACCCGGCCAAACTCCCCACCCGTGCCCCTTGTCGCCGACTCAATCTCCTTGCCGCCGATCCTTCATCCCCCTTGCTCCCCTTGCCTAATTGGATTGACAAAATTCAGGATTGAATTGAGATTCAAATTCAAAACATTTTGAATTTTGAAATCTTTTCTAAATTAGTCAATCTATTTTAGGAAAGTTTCTTAAATTAACAATATTTGAATTCAAATTCAAATAGAGTTAATTAAATTTTTTTCCTAAGTCTAAAACTATTTTAGGCAAGCTTGTACACATGGCACCAAATCCCAATCCCCCCTGATAATGCCGCCGGCCCCCTCCCCCTTAGCCCATCAATATTCAATTAATTATTTCCTAAATCTAAATCCATCCTTTAGGAAACAATTTCAAAATCCTTAACTCCCTCTTGGCCAAAATTTTTCCTCATCCCTAGGATCTAATTTATTTCCTAAAACTAGAGATTGGATTTAAGAAATAAGAGCCCCAATCCCTCTCAATCCCGCCGGCCCCCTCTCTATGTCATCCGCCTCTCCCCTCCCTGTCACATCTCCTCTCCGCCTTTATTTCACTTTTACTTTCTTCCATAACTCTTGCTCCTGCTAATTCTCTCCTCCCCACACTGAGAGTTGGAATTTCTCTCATATTTTGAGAGAAAAATCTGAAATATTTCAGATTTCTTGAAGGAACTATTCAGCTTTTGTTGGAAGGCACTTGGAGTTCGTTATTGCCACTACTCGAGAGTTGTATTAATTGTTATAGACATTCTACCGTCAATCATCCATGAACGGCGGATCCGGAAACTAATTACGACATAACTTGGGACGAAGACCGCTTCGTAGACATCTTACAATCTACTTTCTTCGACGTGAATCCAAGAGTTGATCTCACCGTCGAGGATTACTTCGAGTGCACGTTGATCTATTTGGTATAGGCTATCGACGAACACTTCGAAGGCATCGAGTGGAGGATCTCCACCTCTCCCTAACGAAGGTTTCTCTTTTCCCTTGCATCTTATTCCTTCTAGTCTAAACTCTCCTTGGTTTGATTGCAGTCACGACGGACTCTTCGCATTGCTCTTGCTTAAGCTTAGTAATCGTAGGATTTGAGTGCCCCTCAATGCATCCTAATTCTCATTGTTAGATTAGGGATTAGTTTGAAAACTACTACGACTCATCGTGTTGATTTTCTATTTATTTTGGAAGTTTCAAAATTCTTATCATGTGATTTCAAACCTAAGCGGATAACCACTAATTGCTTTATTTCGTTATTTGAATTTGCTAGTAGATTTATTCTAGAATTATTCTGATCATAAGTTGTGCAAAATCTAAGTGAATTAAACATTGCATATGTAGTCCTACATCACACGGGTCCTTCAACTAGTGTCAAAGACTTGACACAAAATTACGACAGCTTTGCTAGTAAAATGCAAAGTGGTGTTGCCTTCCTCTAGTTTTAACTTTCCAATGTGTTTCCATAAAAAATTGATGCCGGTTTAGCTTCCTCCAAGTTATATATTCATTGTTGACCTTATCTTATTTGGCGGTTCCAACAACTTGTTCATGCAAGCAGGCCTTGATTTCTGTTGCAATTAATTGTAGTTTTCTCCTCGTATGGCTTGTGTGCAGGACCCTTATTGTGGCTTTCTTGATCGAGTTAAAGATCACCCTTCTACAACTTTCGGAGTCAATATTTCCCTTAGAGCTAATTAAGAGGAACTATCTAGTAACTTCGACAATTATAAAGAAGAGTTTATGTTATGTGCAAAAACATCAATTGGTCCTCTGAAAATTTTTTTTTTATCAAGATGTACTATTCTCACTACTTTTGAGAGTCAATTATTTGATCAAGTGAAAAACTAGAGATTAACGTAGTCCTTGTAAAAGTATGATGCTTATTCTTGGTAAATAACTTTCCCTCTACTTTTGTCTTGTTCTAAATTTGTAAAGATTTGAAAGCGTGAATGATTTTACTCAAATTCGAAACAATCTGATGGTCAACTAGTGCATGAATTTTAACTCAGTGATTCGTTTTCTTGCTTCCAATTTTTTATTTGTTATTCCTAATAAAAGGATATTTTATTTTCACCAAAATTGATTTCCTTCATATTTTTTATTTTCATAAAAAATGAAAAATAATTATTAAAAAATTAAGAGTTTATGGCAAGTGAATTTGAATGTTCTTTGCATGATTTTTTGTCTCATGATAAATTTGGATTAGAAAACACAGCTTCTAAGATCGGGCATTAAATTTGGTATTAAAGCATAATGATTTCTTGTAGATGTAGAATATAATATCGAATTAGTAAACAATATTAAAAAAATGCAATTTAAATCAAACAGCTTAACTACAATTCTTAAAAATTTTAACAGTTTTTATGAGATTAAGAATTACATTCCAATATTTTATGGGGGATTAATCCTAGTCGTATTGATATTGTTTCAAGTGAATTCTCCATCAATTTCAAAGGCAATAAGTGAACAAACTAAGGGATGAGGTTGTTCTTCTGAGGACATTTGCTGTCTCTCTTTAAATAAATCAATTTGCTAGAGGTGCTAAATTCTATCTTTGTCATTTTATTCATCATCGATTTGTCTCCAAGGAGATTGTTCTTGATTAGTCGCTTATTGCCAGGTTAAGAACTTGCCAATGCCTTCAATTTATCCTCTTGCAAGTTAGCAGCCTTCATGAATTTTTCCTTGCAAACAGAGAAGGGAATTTCTTTTAGAAATTGCAGCTTAATTTTTTTTCTTTATACGTGAACTCTTTTGATATAATGAAGAATATTTTTTTGACAAATCTTATCAAGATGTTCCTTAATAAGTTTATTTGAATATCTAACTATTGTGACCATTATATGCTCAAGCGATTTGACTAATGAAAAGTCATTTGAGTTTCTCAAGTGACTAACACTTAAAATCTCGTAATAATTGATTGTAAAATCTTTAATAATATCCAAGTATGATGTCTTGATTAACCGATTCTAATTTTACAACACAATCTTCCGACTTCCTTGAATCATCTACAAACAGCCTCTTCGATCTTCACTTGTTTCTTTACATGCTCCTTTCTTTCTTTTGTTCTTCAACGGCCTCCCTTTGCTCCCGTTGTTGACTTCACTTGGAGGCCGTTGAATCTTTAAGTAGAATTACATGCTCCTTTCTTTCTTTTGTTCTTCAACGCAACAGTAAAAAAACATATTGAGCAATCCAACTAACATATTGAGCAAGATCTAACTATTTGTTAAAAAATTGAACAAGTTTAAGTGAAATCGTTGTTGACTTCACTTGGAGGGGGCTAAATTCTACTTAAGTCTTCGATGACTTCATTTTAGGCAAACGAGTAACTTGAGTCACAGGAATCTTAATTTGCTTCGGACGAAAGATGACTAGCCTTGGCAATTTTAAATGATCTAGTACAAAGGAAATGTGGTGATTGGTGAGATCTTCATATACTTTGGCGACTTTTTCTTTGTGGCAAATTAAGATTATTTTAACTGGTTAATGTTGGAGAAGTATACCACGCAACAAAACAAACAAAAAAGAGAAAATGGCAGCGAAAAGAAAGAACACCAAGATTTAACGTGAAAAAATCTGAAACCAGAAAAAAACCACGAAGCCACGCCACGTCAAGAAATTCACTATGAAAATTTGGGAGAAGTATTACAAATATCTCTTCTATCTCACTTTCTCCTTGTCTCAATTCTCTCTTGCATAGTTCTCTATGAACAAACAAAGAGAAAACCTTTAAAAACCACCAAGGGACACAACTCCTAATGAAAAATGAGAAAAAAAAAAAAACTGTCAGCCGTCTTAAAGCGCATCGGCACCAAGTTTGGAGCATCGCAGTGCTTAATTCTCTGTCTCTTGGCTACCTAACAAAGTTGCAGCGCCAGAGTATGAAGCGCTACAATGCTTGCTACGTTTGCTAGCACCGCGACAACACCAAGATTTGGAGCCGCAACACTCCGCTATCTGTCTGTCTCCAAGAAAACTATACATTGTCACAACACTTGGGTACACAACACTGCAGCTATCACAACCCAACCTAATCAGGACAGATCCTAGCGTGTTGAGCTTTAACAGACAAATCCCAACATCCAATTTTGGAATGTTCTAGAGTCTCTTCCAATATTCATTTTAAATAAACTACATACTTTAGAATCACTAAACATCCACATACTAAAAATAAATATATCCAGAAGATTTTTTTTCATTTCATCAAAACATATATATACTATAGTACATGGCTACATACAAAAGCTTCAAAACTGCATGATAAGTTAATCATAACTGTACAAAATCAACAAAAGAAATACCTATCAACTTGGATCAGTCCTGAACTGCTAATCCACAAGTTCATTCCCTTTCTAAGATCCTGAAAATCAAAAGTAAAACCATAGTGAGCTACAATAGCTCAACAGGTCACACAAATCAATCTAAATTTATAAATTCTCTACTAAGCAAAAATGCTTATTTTCAATAAATAATCAAATTATTAAGGATTATTTACAATAATGTTATAAGACTTTTATCGTATTACAATACTATTTTTCAGAGTCTACATAATTTTTCATTTAATAAAAATCACACAAATTTCAAAACCCCTGCTGTAAAATTTTACGAAAATACTCAAAACATTTGTATTTTTTAAAATTGAGATAGGCGTAATATAACCTACCTCGATCCGGACAACTTTTTGAACTGGGCCGGCGGCTAAAAATGTCTCGAAGCAAGATAAAAAAATCCTCTTCTTACTCCTCAAATCCTCTTCCTGTGGTTTTTTCCAATCGGGACAGAACATGTCAATCCATATGCTGAACCTGCAAGTGTCACAACAGCACTGTACGATTGTATGGAAAACAATTCATATTTAAAGCACCATAATCCAAGCAAGAGAAGCCCTGCAACCCTAGTGAGCATGAGGGAGGAATTGAAGTCTGACGTAGTAGTGCAACACAATTGATGGACACAATCAGACTCCGCACAGAACTAGTAGTCAATATGACTTGAACTCAATCTATTGAGACGGCAGCTTGTTCAATGAAATATTTAGGCGTACAAGTTTCGTTATAATAAAAAATCAACTCCATGATAAGCTTTCCTAGCGTTTAACCAAATCAATTCTCCAATGCGAACTAAGTTTTTCCAACACTACATTTCATTTCTCTCTCCCATAACTTCATTAGAACAATAACAAGCTTGATTCACCTATAGAGAATAGCAAACAATCCAATTGAAATCAATAACCATTAACTAACCATCTATTTAGCGAGAGAGTGAAAGGGGGAGGGGGAGAAAGAAGACTTACATGTAACACTGGAGAACAGCGGCCAATTAGATTACTCTAAAACCCTAATCTCCCTGTAGCAAAGTGAGCAAGAGCCAATATCAAGAAGGACATGGGTTCGGAAGCCGGAGCTCATCAATTTATCGATTTGCTAAGAGAATTACTCTTTGTTTGGAATTAGCTAAATTGTAAACCTTCTGAGATTGCTATATGGTTTCCGAAATCAGAGAGGTGGGGGTATCCCAACTGTTGAAACTGTAACAAGATGCCTCGTCCAGAGAGCAAGTTAGCTTCCGTTACTCTTGAGAATATGTGGCCACAGAGAAAGTAAGCCTGTTTGGATGCAGATTTAGGCCGGCTTTAGACAATATTTGAGCTAAAGTTTAAGCTCGACTTCACGGTATTTTTAGCATTTTTGCCCTAAATCCCAGATTTTGTAAATCCGATATTTTGGCCGATTTAGCCGAAGAAGCGCGCGAAAGGAAGAGATATCATTGCCTTAGCGGTGATCTCCCGTGCCGACTTCCGATCCTACAGCAACAACGGGTCGTCGGAGGCAGAGAAACTAAAGCTACACTTTCAGAACTCTACTTCACGTGACAACAGCAATGAAGGCATGGAGAAGGGAGGAAAAGCCGCAGTGATGAAATATTAAAATTATTAATTAGATAATTTGAAGAAATTAGGTTATAAATATTAATTAAATAATTAGTTAGTAATAAAATGTTTTACTGATTAATTAGATACTTATTAGTATAGTTAATAATTAAAATTAATTAAAATAATATTTTTAAAATTTTAATGAAATTATTGGTCATGTAAATAGTAATTAAATTATAACTTTTTAAAATAATAACTAAATAATTAATTATATAATTATCATTATAATTATTATTTAAATCATTAGTTAAGTTATTGAATAATTAAATTAGTTTTTTTATTATATTATTAATAATTATAATTTATTGATAAATTAAAATTAATAAATAACACATATTTAAAATATAAATATCATATGAGTTAATTCTAAATAATATTGTCAAATAGTCTCATAGAATTTATAAGAATTTAACGTACTTCTTGTCAAATAATTTTTAGGATTTAGAACCTTTAGAATTTATAGGATTTATAAAATCCTACATAAATTAAATCCTAGTTGCATCCAAACAAGGCCAAGTTTTCATGTAGAAGTAAAAAATCCCAACATCCCTTAGTTGAAAGAGGATCATAGATGATTTGCAAACTAAGCGAACTAAGCGAGCAAATCCGACCCAACGAGGTGCTTAAGCTCATTTATTATCGATTTGTACAAGTTTGGCTCAAGCTTAATTTAGTTCGTTTAAAACAATAATATTCATGTCTAGTTTGTGTTCAATTCATATTTGATTAATTTCATGCTTATCGAGCTTTAAACAAATGAGCATTATTGAGTTATTAATAATCTTTACTTTCTAGATGTTCTTTAACTTAACAAACAAGCCTACTAATAAATAATTACTTATAACATATTTGTGAATATGTTTAGTATGTGTTTTTGAGCTATGAAAAATGATAATTCATAAACATATTTAGTGAGTATTTTTGAGCTACCAATTAAGAAATAAGCTAAAAAAATTATTTTTCTTATAACAAGCTTGTTCATGAACACTTTAAACAAACAATCCAATAAACATGAACAAATACCTCTTATTCATGAACAAATTCTATAACATAATAAAATTAATTTATATATTTGTTGTGTCCTATAACATTTGCGACAATAAAGAGATAAAGATCTTAATGTCTTAGCTTTGAATGAAGATCCATCATACATACAAATACAGAGAGAGAGAGGGGTGTGAGAGTCATAAGAGACACCAATTTTTTTACGTGAAAAATTCTAAAAAAGTGAAAAACCACGGGGTCTGACTAGTGGAAATGATTTCACTAGTGTTTGTAATTGATTACTAATGGTGCCCTTATGTGTGGGGAAGGCATTGACTCAATATATAATATAGAGCAGATTACATAGTTAAGGTCGAAAAATCCAATTATAAGAGAGTCATTTTCAAGAGAACGTTGACATCTTCATTTAGTTTGCAGGGTTGTATTTGGGCAATGGATCTCAAAGGGATTGTAGTTGGCGGCGACGGAGGTAAGAGGGACCGTAGTCGGCGGTGAAAAAGGTCGGAAGGACCGTAGTCGTTGGGCGAAGGTGGTCAGAAGGACCATAATCAGAGAGCAATAGTGGTCTGAGGGACCGCACTAGGCATATGGTGGAGGTTGACGGTCGGGCGATGGTCCGACAATGGTCGACAGCTGTGTGGTAGTTCGACAACGATCGATGGCTGGGTGGTGGTCCAAAAATGATTGGGTGGAAGTTGTGACGCCCCAGGCATCCATAGTGAAAGGATTCGTCTGACATTCTGATCGAACTCCATTCCAGTTTCCTTGCTCGGACCTGAAATTGTTAACCACATATAATGAGCTTAAATAGCCCAGCAGGTCACCAAAGCCTACAACTGAAATCAAAGCACGGTACTGCTATCAATATGCATGTCAGTCAATCAAATTCATAACAGTTAATGGTCAATGAGTCTATGCAGCGGAAATCAAATCAGTAGTCAATGCAGTACGGAAATCAATAGTCGATGAAATCAATAGTCGATACAGCGATAGAAGAATCGATAAATCAAACTCAATAAATCAAATCTCAGAAGAATCCGTCGATCAGTCAAATCAATCGTATCGAATCAATCGATCAAATCAAGTCAATGAAACTGATTAGAAAAGCAGTACAATAAAGCTCAATCTATACTAGCAATGAATCAAATGCAGCAGGCTAATATGGTGCATAAACAATAGTATCAATGATTCTATAAGTAATAATATCAATGAATCTATAGTATCCATGTCCATAGCAATGCATCTATACAATATCTATATCCATCCATGTCCATAACAATGCATCTATACAATGTCTATATCCATCCATGTCCATATCAATGCTCAATAGTTTCAATGCTCAGCGATCAATCAATGAAATCGATGAAATCGTACGATACAGTAAATCCATAAATCCGATCAAATCAATAAAGCAGTAAATCCATAAAGCAGTAAATCCGTATGTCAATACAGTAAACATGCATTCAATACAATAATACTGAACAAGTACAATCAACTGGCTATGTTGCTGTTGTAGAATCCATATTGCTGTTGTAGATATCCATACGTTGGTTTCAATAAAAAGAGTCGTCACTCTATTGCTCGTCGGCCGCCCGTTGACATATCTATAAGAACTCTTTATGACTCCCATCCATATATCCATAATCAATGTTTAAAGGAAAGCCCGTCGGCCCACCATCCTGTACAGGTCAATTCAATCTCCAACCAATATTCAACTAGGTTCCACTTGTGTTCCAGTATCAATAATCAATCAATAATCAATTCAATAGTCAATATTAAAGCAATCATATCAATATTCACATTCATATCTATTCAATCTATCAATCTCAGAAAAATCGGAAATCGTACGAAATTTCGGCAGCGTAACGGCAGTCTATCAAATTTACACAAAAAACCTACAAAATCACAATTCACCAAATTACAATAGAATGTTCACGACAACAATATAAGACTATTGTTCTACTGAATCCATATCAAATAACATCCTGATATTTTTCTATTCAATTAAAATCGCGTAGAACCAATTCCGACCGGTAAAATCTTCGCAGAAAATACTCAAATCGTGTACAATATTCATATCTATAACATTCTAAAAGTTGTGCGGTGAAAGTTGTGTCAATACAAAACCGGGTCCGAAATTTGACTACAAAAACACAAAACAGGTCACAACACAATCAAAACTCAATATCTCCGAAAATAGAAATAGAATTCGGAGTCCTTACCGCGAGATAAACACTTTTCCCAACAGCGGCGTCGGACGAAAAGCGCTCCGCGGCCTCTGAAACCAAGCTTTCTTCTCTTTTCCTTTCTCTTTCTCTCTCCTCAGATATTTTGATTTTTATAAAAATATATTCTCTCTCCTCAAAACGAGCTGATTTTCTTATATCATTAGCCTGATTGGCCCGGCCGATCGCCACATCGTTCTGGCCGATCAGAACAAAATCCAATCGGCCCGGACGATTCCTCAGGCCGATAATTAATTTGCCAAAAACCCTTGCTCTCGGGATTTTGCCATGCACTGATCGTCCCAGGACGATCCAAAATCGGCCTGGACGATCCAGTCCAGAAATCATTCCATAAAACACTCCAGAAATCAGCCGTTTTCAATGCACTGATCGGCCTGGACGATCTCAATATCGTCCCGGCCGATCCTGGGAGGAAAATCTAATTCAGAGAGGAACAATAAGGGAACGAGATCTCACAGAAGTCTAGCGGCTGTCGACATATGAGTGGAAGTCTGGAAGCGTTCGGTGGCCGGATGGAAGTCCAGCGGTAGTCGATGGCCGAGCAGTGGTCCGACAAATAGTCAACAGAGATTTGTCAGTGATGGTATAGGAGCTCTTGAAATTTAAGAGCTCTCTCTAATCTACAACCAAAAGATCCTATTCATGTAGAGAGTGTTGGTCTATTTTATAGATTTTTATGAGTGGCACACCCCCGTAAATATGGAGAAGATTTGGGGCATGTTCGGAGTGCTCCATCGTACGACCCGCATTGATTCCCTGATCATAGAGCATTTTTCAAGTATTTAAGTGCCTTAAGGATGTCAAAATTCAACGATCTTGGGCTTGTTAGATTCATCTCATCGAGCCGCTTGATTCAACTTTAAACATGTCATATTTGGATATCATTTTGTCATTCAATTAATGCTTTGAACTTCCAAGTGCCAAATTTGGATTCATCTTGTCGAACCGTTCGATTCGACTTTAAGTGACTATAAGTTTGTTGAAATCGTAGTTAAGATGGTTCCAAATTTAATTTCAAAAGTTATAATCAAAATGAACATTTCAAATAGATGAATCCAATGACACCAAAATCGGTCCAATCAGATCTCAAATGGGTCCAAATCTCATTATGAAGTACTATGTAAATATATTTAGTAAAATACCATGATAGAAAAATAATAAAAAATCAAGGGTAATTTATTATATTTTGAATTATTAACCTTTTTATTATCCTGAGTCAAAATAATCTCAACTTATATATATATTTTTGGAATCGTTTCTAGCGACTTCGAAGCCTTAAGTTATTTTATTTGAGTTCATACACAGTTATGCTCACTGATCTGATCAAGAATTGTGTGGATAGCCTCTCATATTTTTAATTAAGAATTATTTAAAATCATGATATATGCTTTTTAAAATAAATTATTTATAATTGTTAAGAAGATAAAATATTAAGTTGAAACAATATTTTCTTACAATTTTAAAAACATCATGAAATATTTACAAAAATGTAATCTCAAATCTGCATTTAAAAAATATGGCTAAAAGTTTCAAAAATTAATGTCAGGACTATATGGACCCTTATTTCAATATTATTATTTCTTGCTTCTCATTTTGCATCTACTTCTCTTTCATTTAAATATCACATAGGTATTAAAAAATAAATACATCTAATTAAAGCTTTTATGTGCAGGTTGGTCGAGTGAAATCGTTAGCTAAACATTGAATTCGTGATTGATCGGCAAAATTCAAGCATCTTTTTCCTCTCCCATATTCATTTCTTACATTTATATTCAACTTTATGAAATATTATTTTTATATTTTCAATGAAGTGTGTGATGAAATTTTGGTAACTCTTATATATTAGGTCAACATAAAGAATAAAGTTCATCAGCATTTTCTAATTTTAAGAAAATTTGTAGTGATGACTATATATTACACTCCAACAACACATCGTACCGTTTTCTATTTTGCCCACTACCATATTAGCAACTTTATTTCTTGTTTTAGTTTTGATGGTACAATATTTATCTTAGACAATTATATTAATAGTAGTAAGAGGAGGGGTGATACAAATATCAGAAGAAAAGAAACTTCTTCGACTTCTTCTACGACGTTCTCCGGTTAGATTGGAAGTCACTACAGGAGCTTGCCACAAAGGTAACAATGGGAGCTTGCAATGAAGGTAATGATCTTTCTCTCTTATACTCAATATGATGACGAACATGCTATGATTCAATTTCAGGCCTCACCTTGCTCTTGCCCGTGGTTCAACTCTCATAATTTTTTCAATAAATTAAGCATTGTTTCACACTCTTGTGACATTTTATACAAATTAAAATTTTCAATATTAATTTATATATTACTTTCACTTACAACTACATTTTCATAGGTTATAACTGACAGAGTGGGATATTGTATCTATCTTTTATGAATGAGTCTACAGGTAATGAGACACAAACTTTGCGAGGTTAATTTGTATATGATTTTCACTTATAACCGAGGTTTTTATAAGTTATGATTGATAGAGTGGGACTTTGTATCCATCTTTCATGAATGAGTCTTGTTGTGTCCTCGAATATTCGCGGCGATAGAGAAATGTATAGTTTAACGTCTTAGCATTGTACAAAGATCCAACACACAAGCAGATAAGAGAGAGAGAGAGTAGCGTTCATAAGAGATACCAGAGTTTTTACAAGAAAACTCCTAAAAGGAAAAAAAATCATGAGGCCTAACCCAATTTGAAAGAATCCTCTAGTATATATATATATATCCTCTAGTATATATATATATATATATATACTACTGTTATAAAATGGACTTGAGTTTTCATGCACATCAAATCTTGGCTATTCATTTTTATTTTTTAAATTATATTGTCCATTTCTTATATTTTAAATAATTAATAATTATAAAAATATATAATAATTATATAAATTAATACTCATTATATACACCTCCATGAATTTTATTGCATTATATATTTTTATTGCTTCTCATTTTATTTATATCTATAATAACATATACAGGAGGCTTGCGATTTTTCCCTTAGCAAATCCAGCCGCGCATATGGCTTAAATCAAACCGTATATTTTCCCATCCTTCGTATTCCCAGCGCAACGCTTCTTATTCCTCGCTTTATTAATCTGTTTCGCATTCCACGCTCTCAGAACGGCACGCCGCTTCCCGGCCTGCCCTCTTCGCTAAACCCTCGCATTCTCCTCCTCCTACTTCTCCTACCGTCGGATCGGAAGTTGCTCAGGGTTGGCATCACTCTTTTCAAGATGTTGATCGGAGAGCAAGCTCGCGTGTGAACCCGCCTGGCTTCCCTTCACTAAAACTGTGAGCTTTACATTCTCCCTCCTCCTTCTCCGTCTGTTTCTTCTATTGCACTTCTTTCCTTCTGTCGGTTTTCTTATAGTTATCCTGATTCTACTTGCTTGATCTGAAACTTACAATCCTTCAGTTTTTGTGGGACTGCTTCTACTTGGTTGATTTGAAACTTGCAATCCTTCAGTTTTTGAGAGATATTTTGTTGTTTTCACATCGAGAAGCCCAGTAAGATCCTCCTCCATTAGTCCTCATGACCTACTTCCTCATTAGTTCTGCCGCGTCGTCCGGCTGCGCCCCTGCATCTGCGTGACGGTGGGGAGTTCTTTTCTTTTACTATCTTTCTCCTCTTCATCATGAGCTATTAGAACAAGGGCTTTTAATTCTTCTTTCTTTTATTTTTTTCTTTAGCTTTTTCTTATTCTTGTTTTGCTTCTTTGTTGAAAGATGTTATTGTGAATAGTCTTTTTGCAATACATTGATATTCCTCCTTAGATTTTCTTTTCTTTTTATTTAGTGTTCTCATCTATCTTATAATCAAAACTAAATAGAGTGATGTAATTATCTAAAATTAGATTTATTACTATTTAAATGTGCGACTAGTTAAAATCATTTGATAATGAAGTAGGATGAAAATAACTGATAGGTAAAGAGTTTAGTTCATTTTAGTCAACCCTACATAGTGGGATAAAGGCTTGATGATGTTATTGTATATGAAAAAAATAGACTAGCTAACACAACACTTCAGATCTTATAATCAATATTTTGTAAAAATGTTAGCAGGAGATTTTTCCAAATATCAAAAGTTGTTTTATAAAGTAGGAGAGATATGTTGTTCATAGGACTAAACAAAGCAAAAATAATATGCATTTAAGATTTTAACTCTATTATGTCAGATTAAATAAAGAGTAGAGGCTCTGACTCCAATTGTGGAGTCAAGGCACATCATGACATCGTGAATATTTTTTTCTTGCATAATAAAATATTCTATTGAAACTTCTGAATTCCAATCCGACATAAATATACACAGTAAAAGGAGTTAATGATATGTTATATGGGGTATATAATTATAATGGTTATATGGGGTATATAATTATAATGGTGATATATATATATATATATATATAATCACACTCACTATGATTAGAATATACATAATAGTTTTATGTAATTTTATAAGTAAAACTAATAGTGACATTTAGTTGATGATTAAGCTAATGTGAGTGATTAACTCTAAGCACAAATATAGAGAATGATACCTTGCATAGGCTTATGTTATGGGGCTTGTTAAACACCAATCATATGTGCACAACAAAATAGATTAATGTGATATATGTGAATCTATGTCAGGAGTTTAAGTGTACAATTATTTAGTACAATGGTGCTACTTAACCCAAGAGCATAATTAATTTTTCTACTTACAATCATGTAAGCGTAATAGTGATAAAATTAATGTCCAATGAATATAATGAATATAAATCAAAACTTAGCAAGATGGACATGATTGATATTTACGTTGTTCGGCCTAACAAGCATATATCCACCCCTAGGTGTAATAAGTCACTTAGGATTTCTGCAGTCTTTGTAATTCTCTTTTGCTCCATGCGGTTGGACAAGACTCTATAATCACTTCCTTCAAGAGGAATCATACCTTTGAACTTTCTTCCTTAAAGGGGAGGTGAGCCATCACTTTATTTATGGGTTAGGGAACCTCTAAGCTCAAGCAAACATTCTATGGAATTCCTTCCTCCAAAGTGACTCAACATTTTTTATGGTGACTAAGACTATCACAAACTAATACAAGCCTTAAACAATCTAGATATAAAATTGACTTTAGAGGATATAATGAAATACAATACAATTAGACTAAAGATTGAGATACATAATTTACTCTAATATTGATCTCAGGATGTTAACAATTCAAAATTTATTATAAATTACCTCAAGAATCTCTTAGACAAATTATTTCATTGATGACAAAAAATGTACCCTTAAAATGGACTGATTTGGTTTAATTAAAAATTTCCATAAAATTGGTTTACATGTACTAAAAAAACTTTGTGGAGGTTCATAAAGGACTTTCCCGAGACCTAATAATTATGATTCTGGGCCTCAGCCATGACTAGTTTTTAGAGCGATGCTAGTAGTTTGGTAACTTTAATGAAGGCCAATAAACCAGGTTAAATTTAATTTTTTTGATTTTAATGAGTTTCTGTCAAGAAATTTTGCAAAATACATCTATATAATACTTTCAGAAGATTTTTAGGATTGTTTTAAAATGTATAGCATCATAATTAAAATATATTAATAGTTTGTTATGTTTTATTTTGTGTGCTCACCATCCTTGAGATATTTTAATGTAAACCTCTCATTTATATAGTGCATTATCTACACACGCTTAAGGCATTTCCTTAGATTGTTCATTTTGCTTTATTTAATTATCTTAATAAACCATTTGTTATTCATCATCAAGCTATAAAGGCTCCAAGTGCGTAGTGGAATAGATAATCTCCACGGTTCAACTAATATTTATTTTATCAGCAAACCATTAGATGACATTACATAGAGATTTATTATCATCAATCACTAAGACTTACATTGGCTCATGGTGTGGTCAACTACCCTTACACTTTTCCAACTAGAAATTTTCACCCTCACTAACCATTTGACTCATGGTAGTCCTTGAGTCAAGCTTGGTGGCCTCACACTTATCATGCTGTTGTGCTTCCCTTGCAGCTTGGCTCACTGCTATAATGCTATTATCTCTGATGATGTTGCCTTCTCCTCAGCAGTGGTTGTATCATACCTACTCTATTTTCTTAATAAGTTGCAAATGTATTAAACATGAAATTATAAGTGCTTTTCAGGCATATCCTATCCATTAATTTTGGAAATTTCGATATTTTGATTCACGAGTATACAATACAAGGACTTAATTGCATATTATATATGCATGGTTTTTATAGGTTTTTTTTCAACTTTAGTAGTGTTAATCTTGCATTCCATACCATTCCTTACACTTGAAAATTAGAAAGCTTGGTCGAATATGTTAGACCATAGCTATATTTTTCAATCATTTTTGTTGGATTGAAAGTAATGAAATGAAATCCTAACTGTTTGATTATGAATTTGTAGGGGTTGATTTAAGCTTTTCTGCTCGTTTTTCATTTTCTTTTAATCAAATTCTTAGCATCCAAATTCAGCCTATATGAATATATTCTGCAGTTGACAGTTTGGATATTGCAGCACATTCTTGAATTTGGGCATTGCAATATGGCGGGCACCTTAAAGGCTGAATTTAAGAAATAAACAAATAAGTTGAATGATCTGGAGAATGGCAAACAATACAATGTATGCATATACATACATGTGTCTGTGTGTATAAAAGACAAGACATAGCAGATCTAATATCATTTGTGAAGGATTTATTAGAGGCTACATAATGGGATTTTAGTTAAAGATGAAGATGCCAAAGAAATAAGAAAATGCTGCTTTAAAAGAGATTATTTAGGAAGAAGTCTTTGCATAAAAACCTTAATGAATAGAATTGTGAACTATATTATGGATTGATCCAGAAAGAGGAAGTGGACTTGTCTTTGACTTATATGCATAAAGGTGCAAAACTTTGTCCAAATTTAATTCATCTTGATATTGGGAGAGTCATCAGAGATATTAGAATAGTTTAGTTAAATTTTTTTTTTCCAATGAAACCTTTAAGACTAACAAGATGCCAATGATTTGAAGATGAGTATTTTGGTATTAGTATTAATAAGAAATGTGTATAAGATTGTGGAAATTAAAGTGCAATCAAATTTATGAGACATACATTGCAGTTGTGGGATGTGGTAATGGATTATAAACATAGAAAAATCATGTTGATATTGAAGAATCATTTTAAGGTATATGGAGTATCATGAACAGATTTGGTGATCATCAAGGAGAAAGATTTTGTAATAATTATGTTGAAGTTATTAAACATATATATGATAGAGTATTGAATAGTATTATAAGTAATTGACCTTGAGGTTTAACATGTCTTTGCGTGAGTATTGAACATATTTAATATCTTCCTGTTAGTTTTAGTTGAAATATGCACTGTTATTGGAACTTTATTCTAGAGAAAGATAAGAAGTCTATACAAATGGATCCAAATGCTCAAAGCAGCTACAAGAGACCAACACACAATTCAAATTATGTTTATTTTCAAGTTCTATTTACAAATCGCAGTTATGGTTGACTCTTGCCTTCACTCTTCACCTCTAGCCTATTTCTCAACTTATAGGTGGTTGTCCAAGTTTGAGGCCAGGCAGCTCACATATTCTGGAAATGCAAATTGAGATTTTACATGCGGCTATAATTTTCCCAATCTTCCTGCAGTTTTCCAAACCCAATTGGGTAGATAACCATTCAAGAATCCAGAGTTTTAGAAGACAGACTAGGGTTGTTTTCTTGAGTCTAGACTCTAGAAAGCAGATTTTTGGTATCTCTTTAGTCAGCAACTAGCTACTCCAATGTTTACCCTTGTATAATTTCATTTATGGAAGGAGTTTTACTAGTTATAATGCCGAAACTCTTGGGATTATGCGCAAAATTGCAAATGACAGTTAAATGTTTACAAGAAAGATTGGATTTCATGATAGAAAACAAATTGAAAAACATAGAACATATTTATTAATTTCTTTATTAAAAAAATTATATCAAAATTTTATTTATTTATTATTATTTCTCAAGACTATTATTAAAATCTTTCAATAAATTGCTTATTATTAGGGGTGTCAATTTCGGGTCACGGGTCGGGTTCGAGTCGAACCCGAAATTGACCCGGCACTATTCGGGTCAACCCGAACCCGATCTGTTTTTAAAAACGGGTCAGTTTTTCTGACCCAAACCTGACTCGCTTCGGGTCCGGGTCAACCCGACACGACCTGAATGACCCGTTTCCAACAAGAAAATGACTAATTTTCGGGTAAAAAACGGGTCAATCTCCTCTTTTCGGGTCAAAAACGGGTCAATCTCGGGTTGCCGGGTCAAAATCGGGTTTTCGGGTCAAAATCTGGTCACTTTTGGGTCAATTTCGGGTCAAAGGGTTAACCCGAACCTGACCCGATTTTTGAAACGGGCCAAAATGCTGAACCTGAACCCGACCCGTTTCGGGTTCGGGTTGACCCTAACCCGAAATTTTCGGGTCGTATCAAATATTGACACCCCTACTTATTATCCACTACCTTTCCCGTTATTAAGGAAATAGTTATAACAATAGTGAATTGCTTACAGTCATTCACCAAATAATAGATATAACAATAATAAATTGATGTCATTTGTTATGTACGTTCTCTCTTGTTATTAAAAAATAATAAACATAATAATAATAAAAAGAAAACTTACAATTATTTCTTCTCTTATCCCCATTCCCAGCTGAGAATATTATTTATTCAATATTTCTAATTTAGTTATAAGATGACTATAAATGTATTATCATTGAGAATATTAGCTTGTGGCATCTTTTTGGCGTGTTTGTTTTTTGTTTTGTTTTAATTCTATAGAATGTAATGACTGAAATTAAACTATCAAGAAGTGAAATTAATTACAGGTAAACACTTATAGATTTAAGCATGCTTGAATCATAAAGACGAATGGTTGCCGCAAAAAAATATTTTAAATTAATTAAAGTTGATACATATGCTTAAATTTAAATTTTATCTAATGGTTGCATAAATTTCAATCACCTTGCAGGCAAAATGTCTTGCTGAGCTGAAAAATAATTTGATCCAACTAAAACAATTATTTAATGTATGCATGTTGATGTGCCTTTAATGTAAGCTATCTAAATACCAATAAATTGAATTTTGTTAGATACAGTTCATTTTTTCAAATTATATAATAGTTTGACGTCAAATTTTTGCTTCTTATTGGCATTTTGCCATAAAACTTGCAAATTATTTAAAAAAAAATAACTAGATAAAATCGTAAATTTATGACAAAATTTTTTGAATGTGTATCGAAATATGTGCAAGAAATTTTGAGCTACACAAAATAGCCTCAGGCACTTCAAGAAATTAGAATCAAAATGAGCCAAGAGATTTTTTTATTTGATTTCTAATAATAACAAAGAGTGCTGATAAAATTAGAAGTCAATCATAAAGCTTAAGAAGAGTAGAAAGTCACGGAAGCATCACCTAAAGTCCATCTTTTGGTATGATACAAAAATTTCATAATACATATTAATTAAATGACTCTAAATTAAATATATATGGTCACGACCAGGTCAACTGAGGCCCCAAGTTCAAGCTTGTTAGCTCATATTCAAGAGTCCTAGTGCAGCATCAACATTGGGCCGACTTGCTCACAATGCAAAGCTCTATATTTAAACGATACCCTACATTCAAGGTAATAATACTTGTCATAAATTATTTTCAAGCCTATGGTAATAAATCCGAAGCTGTTTGATATGTCCAACTAACAAAATGCTATTAGCTCTAAATAATCTAAAAAAATGAAAATGAATGATTATGCAAAGTCATTAAATTTGGGCATTCCAATGGTTGTAAGTCAACTTTAATAATATTTAGACAACTCATAAATAGACAAGTAAGCCCCAACCTAATTAAACCTTCAATCCAATGGATGTAATCTCCAAACCAAATTAAATTCATTCCAATGGATATAAGTTCTATCTTAAAATAATATTAAGACAACTTATAAATAGAGAAGTAAGATCTAGCCTAATTAAACCTATGGGCTTTCCAATGAATGTAAGCTCTAAACCTTATTAAATTTGGGCATTCCAATGGATGCAAGACTTGCATCAAATAATATTTGACAATTACTAAATAGAGCAGTAACCCCTAACCTAATTAATTATAGGCATTCCAATAGATGTAAGCTCCACTTCTACCAAATCTATTGAGTACACTCACCCATAGAGCTAGTTTGTAAGATCCACCATTTGAGCAACTCGCAAATAGAGCAATAAACCCCAAATTAATTAAATTTTATCATTCCATTGGATCTAAGCTCAATTTCTCCCAATTTCATTGGGCTGGCATGAAAAACCATCAAGCCCATTGAAACAAAATAAAACTTTCAAGCATTCTACTGGATGTAATCCTCACTTTAATCACATTCAATCGGACCGGTGTAAAAGTTATTAAGCCCATTGAAACAATATTAAATCTTTTGGGTCTTATAATGAATGTAAGCTTCAACCCAACTAAAATTTGGCTTTATAATGGCTGTAAGCCTCAACTCAAATCATATTTGGGTCAACTTCTATGCTAACAAACCCACAAAATCCATTAAACATCAAAATCCAAACTAAAATCTATATACAATCACTTTGTTTTACTTGGAATCCCTGAGAAGAGGAAACTAGCGGCTTGCTAATTAGATTTCCTAGATGTTGCGTCTATGGTTAGTCAACATAGGTAGACTGAGATCGTTGATATTTCCAAACGTTAAAAAAAACCATGTTCCTAAAATTGTCATAGAAAAAAATAACACAATTTTCTTTTATGTTATTTTTTTATTTTCATTTTTTTGCCACATGACTTTTATTTCTGCCCTCTATAACCCTGTTTGTTTATGATTCTTTCCTCCAAATTGATACATTTTCTTTAATTTGATGGCTACTAGTTTTGCACTTCTATTAATGGGATTATCTTTCTATTCAAGCCTGCATTCCATCAAATGAAGCAAATAAATGAAGTCGCCATGTTAACCCTAAAATTGTGATAATCTCTTTTTTATTCCCTTCCATGGTAAGGCTCATCCTCTTTGGTTGATTCTTGAAGCACTTGATGGAAAAGGTTTTTCCATCTCATGTAGTCATGTTCTAAACGGTTGTCATCTGAACAAAACGAATGGGATTCTCCTTCTTGCCTTTCATACAATGCTAATCTATTTCTTAATTGTTGAATTTAACAACATAATTCTTTCATAGCTATCTTTTTGGTTTTGGAGGGTTATTTTCTCCTAGGTGGCATGCTATCCCTAAGGTTTTGATACCAAAATTTGACACCATTACAGAACATGGGACGGTAGAGAACTGAAACAAGAATTATGGCTAGTATTATTTAAATACCATAGAAAGATAATAAGTCTATACAAATGGATCTAAATGCCCAAAGTAGGAGGACATCAACCCCATTAATAGGGAAAAACTTTCGAGCAATGAAAAATCTGAAATTCAATCTCTAAAAACTCCCCTTCCTAACATAACAAGAGGATATTTATAAAAAAATACTTAACAACTCTTAGTCACCTAATCACTAACTACTCTTAATAAGGAAATAAAAAAGAATGATAATCTAAGTAATTTTTTTAATAGAAATGCCCCTCTTATCTCTATCTATATGAATTTATTTTGCAAACTTTGTGGAAGTTCCACCCATTATTTCTATCAAATATGATATCATCTAAATGTTGTTCACCTTAGCCTTATTTGTTGAAGTTGATAAAACGCATTTTCAGTTAGTTGGATATCATAACCATACTTTTCATATTTATGGATATTTTGTTAAGTCCAATAATAAGAATTTCTCGGATGTGATGTTGTCATGGCTTTGAACAATAATGTTTCATTTATACTTGTGTTCCATACGCATTGGCTTTTTCATTTTGTTTGGATGGTGAACTTTTCTTAGTTTATTGAGTCTGAACTTGTGCTACTGGTGTTCCACCTCAAACCATGTGCTATTGTAGTCGGTTGTGAAAAAATCATTTCAAGTACCTCTTGACATGGGGTAGACCACCCCACGGTTAAGCTTTTGGGATGGAGGAGTGATTATCCGCTATCTTATGTGGCAAATCCTGTGCATCTAGTGATGCTCCCTGAAGCTTAGGATTAGCTATAATCTCTGGAAAATTATGCTACTGATTTGACTCATTGTTTAGAGGGTTGTTTCATGCACTTTTTCTTTCAATTACTCAACTAAAATTTTTATGACTCTTACTCCCTCGATTCTAATATGGCAATTTTGTTGAAGAGGAAATTCTATTACTGAGTTGGTGAAAAACGTATAAGTTTCACATAATGTATTGAACATCACTCTTGATTAAATTCTGAAGCCTTGATCTATACTGTATGAACCTATCAGCTAACCATGAGAATGGTTATTATGATAATACGGCCTTCTGTAATAGTATGACATCATAACTTCGGTTTTCTTCAAGCCATTTGATATGCTCCTATTTCAATAATGTGAAGGTTGATGAGCTGAATAAGGCTTCTTTTGGAACAGTTTTGACAACTGTTTTTGCTTCTTTCAAGATTTTTTTTTGCTAAAAAGTTGTTTTAAAAGCAGTAAAAAGACACTCCCAAATGAAGCCTAAATTTATTCGCTTCAGTTTTTGTGAAATATGATTGTCCTTTTAAGTCCTGAAATTAATGACAGTGTTCTATTACTGAGTTTATCATAAGCTTTCTTATTAAACTATTTATGAAAAAGCTTGCTCTTGTTCAAGCCCACTGGGCTGTAAATATGGAATGGAATTATGGACCATCCATGACCCTTTACAAGTTTCTCTTGGACATGTGCAGGTCTACTTTCTTTCAACTTAAACAGAACATCTATGGCTTTTCGAGGATATGTTCCATCATCATTACTGGGGAAACCTGTGCAGGCACCAGGGATGATGCGCCATGGCCCCTTTCCAGTTCATCCGTCTTCTGGACATCACCCTTTGGAGCCTGTAAACCCTGCTGAAGTTCTAGAAAAAAAAATTGTGGTTCAGGAGGCTGAGATGGATAGACTTACTATGGAAAATCGAAGGTTTGCAGCAACTCATGTGGCACTGAGGCAGGAGCTTGTTGCCTCTCAGCATGAGCTACAGCGAATCCAAGCTCATGTTGGTAGCATCCATAATGAAAGTGAGATTCAGATCAGGGGCTTGTTGGAGAAGATTTCAAAAGCTGAGATTGATATCCATGCTTCTGAGGAAGTGAGGAAGGATCTACAAAAGGTACATTTGGAGAGACAAAGCCTTCTTTCTGAAAGGCAGGAGCTTGCAAGTGAAATCCAGCACATGAAGGAAGGTCTTCAAAAAGCCAAAGCTGACATTAAAAATCTCCCTGAACTACATGTTGAGCTTGAGGGATTGAGACAGGAGCATAAAAAATTACGGTAACCAAATTCTCTGTTGTTGTTGTTGTTTTTGTTTCTCTCTCTCTCTCTCTCTACCCTTCATGCCCTGCTTCATTTTGCCTTAAACTGTTTTCCTTTGCTACTGTTGAGTTCATGAATTGAAAGATGTGCTTCTTTTGGTGTAAAAAAGTTCGGCCTTTGAGTATGAAAAGAATTTAAATAAAGAGCAAGTGGAGCAGATGTGTGGAATGGAGAAGAACCTTATAACAATGGCAAAAGAAGTTGAAAAGCTAAGAGCCGATATACTTAAAATAGAGAACACTGCACAGGGTAATGATTGTCTCAATCTTGTCACCATACTAAGCCAACAATTTCCCTCTCTGATTTTGCAATTCTTTATTATCTAGTACCACATCAACACGGAAGCACATATGGGACTGCAGCTCCTGTCTACCCTTCTGCAAGTCAAGTCTTTGTTCAACACCCAGATCAGGCTTATTCTCAAAGTGTTGGCTATGCGGAAAATGCCAATGTTGTAGCTGGTGGCTATCCAAATTCTGGCTATAATAGCCATGGTGGTCTTCCTGGGTATGTCCAGGGGTATGGAATAGTATCAACGCAAATGACTGGTGGGGTTGCAGTTCAGGGCGGTAATGGCTACGGTACCGTCGCCGGTGCTGTCTACCCTAATGGTTCCCTGATGCCTCCAGTGCCGGTAGCCGGTGGAGTGCAAGCTGGAGAAGGAGCAAATCCTTCTAGTGTTGTTTTTGCTGGTTCTTATGATGGGGCGAGTCTTGGAGGCCCACCTCTGCCCCCAGGCCCCCCACCACCATCAGTTGGTTGGAGATAGAAAACTAAGAAGTAAAAAAAGCTGATAGCTTTTTCCTTGATTTGGATAAGGGCTTGTGGGTATGAAGGTTCGGATTCTTGTTTAAATTTTAGTTGCTAGACAAGCAATTCCTAATGAATGGAGAGAAACCAGTTGGTTTTAAAAATGGCTTATAATAAATCTTTGCATTTGGTAATATATCCGATGTTTCCTTTCTTTATCTTTCCCTTAATTTCTTTGGCATCCCATCACTTTCGGTATTGGTGGCAATGGTTACTTTTTTCTGCAGGTTTGCCTCTTTCTATGGTATGTGTGTGTCTCCATCCTCCATTCTCTTCTTCTTCTAATCACATGGATACATAAGTTCTTGTTGTACAGTTCTCTGGCGATCACTCCTTTCTATTTCTTGCATTCAAGTGATTCCAATGGTTCGTTTGTTTAAGTCCTCGTTTGGGACGGTTTTCTTATTGCTTCTCAAAAGGATCTTTTAGTATAGAAGTTAAAATTTTTATATTAAAAAACTGTTTTAAGAAGCAGCAAGAAAACGTCCCAAATGAATAGTAAGTAAAGTTCCCAAGCAAGCAGAAACGAGGCTTCTCTCTCTGGAATACTGAAAGTGACATCATAATGTATGGCGTTGACGATGACCTGCAGGTGCCAAAATATCATTACTGCCAAATGTATGTTCGAAATAAATGTTTAAATTGCATGGCTTTCACCAAGAAAATACTTATTGTAAGTTTTGTTATTTCAGTTTTTTTTTTTTCCTTTTTCTGTTTAAGACTATCTGGACAACAGATATCTAAGTCCAAGTTGTTTTGTCAAGGCTAATGTTATCCTGTAGAAAGCTTGCAATATTTACTCTATGATCTATGGCATATGATCATATGGTAATGTATTTATTACATTTTCTTTCCTTCTTAGGCTTTGTTTGAGGCGGAATTATTCTGTGGACGTTGAACGCCATCTAGAGATCAATCAAAATGCGTCACGTCGCCCTTGCTCGGTACCGTGGCTCGGTATCGCTCGATATTCTGCTAGGTACTGCTAACTTAGCGCATTCTAGTTGGCCTCCAGATGGTAAACTGCGTTCGGCGTCTATACAGAATAATTTTTCTTGTTTGTAACTGTTTTTTTATTGCTTAAAGCATTTTTTTAGTATATACATTAAAATTTTGGTTCTGAAAAGTTGTTTCAAGAAGCAATAAAAAAGTCGTTCCAGAACGAAGTCTTAAGTTTTGTTTGAGATAGTTTTTTTTACTGTTTTTTAAAATAACTTTCTGTACAAAAAATTCTTGAATTAAAAATTTTTGTGCATGAAAATTATTTTAAAAGAAAGTTGTATGAAATGAAGCATAGTGTTCCTTTAATTTAGTAGTTGTTAATGGTGTAAATTGTTTAATTTAATTTGGTTTGACCTAAACCAAGAATCCAATTTACTAACTTTTGCTCTATAGAAAATTTGAATTATATCCGAATGGAGTTCAATTGGCTGAATATAAATGACTAATTTGCTGTTCTGACCGGCCGGGTTCAGGTTCAGGTAATTGCATGCCTTTCGGTTTATTATAAGCTTGTTCTTTATACAATTTGTTAGCTTGGTGTAGGTTTCTATGATCTTATCGTTAAGATTAAACAGAATGTCATCATTTGTTAGTAGATGCGATCAAATCACCAATCATACTTCATATAAAAAGGATTATTCTCTTAAAATTGTAGGAGTTTGAGTTGATTTACAAGCTGACTTATTTATTATGAAAGAGGGAAATTGATTATGATCTAAATAACAATTATAATAAAATCATAAAAAAAAGAATTAGAAATTATAATAAAATTAACAAAGAATCATCTAATAAAATATATAATTTTTAAATATTTTAAACAATTTTATACTTAAGAGTATTGAATCTCAATACATTTTAAGTATATTTAATTTTAAATTTATTTAGAAGAGGGCTTATAAGCTAACGAGTTGAGTCAGAGTTGGCTCAAATTTGGCTCGTTAGTTCTTCGAGTTTGCTTACAAGTCATTTATCGAGCCAATCTTGAACAAGCTCATGAGTTGGCATAAATTTCTTCTTTATTTCTTTAATCTCTAATAATTTTGTTTGCATCAAAATTTGTAATTTCTCTTCTTTATATGATGATAAATTATTGTTAATTAATGACAAAGATGAATAAGTAAAATGTCTGATCATTCTAAAATAGTTCTAACAAGAAAATCTATCAATGGAAACTTAATAAATGATTGATACAATTAATCTCTTTATTCTTCCTGAATTAATGTAGCTAAGCCATCCCTTTAATGAACGCGTTTGGTTTATCAAAGAATCAATATGCATCTCTTCTTTGGCAACATCAAGAGTAATTGCTTGAAATGAAGAGAGGAAGCAAGTATATCAATTTTAATTATATAAACAATCAAACATTCACGTGATAAAATTTTTTAGTCATTACTCATTAGAGTCTAATGTGTCTAGTTGTATCAAAGCTTTTATTTTTTTTTTTCTTTTGAGTTATGATTTTGTAAAATTATTAGCCAATTTCAAATCTATGCACAAAATTCATATCAAAATCATATGCTGAAATATAGGTTTTGTTTGGGATAATTTTCTTGCTGTTTTTAAAACAGTTTTTTTCTACAAAATTTTTTTTTGCTATAGATTTTTTACTTAGAAATCTGCTTTAAAATAGTAAAGATTATATCCCAAATGAAATCGTAATATGAAAAAAAAATTTATCTGCTACTAATATGTTTTGTTTATGAATGTTGAATTTCATTATTTATTAGGTTTATAGCAGTTGTGTTATTGCTTTTGATATGAATTTGTTTTAACTTACTTTCAACTTTAATTATTGTTTTAACCAACTATGGGAAAAGAGGAAGATGTGTGAGACCTTATTAGCATGAGAGAAGAAGAGTCATGGTGTAGAGCTTCCCCCGAGTCACTTACCAATGATTGATGGAGACATATGTTGACATTGATTCAAGGACAAGCATATATGACACAGATCTCAACAACACTAGCATGACATGATAAATAAATTTATCCATTATGATCTTATGCCATACTAGCATATATGCATCAATGATGGTTCATATGATCATAGTATCATCAAACATTGTGCGAATTTAGCCACACCCATATGAGTATTCATTGCTCAGTTATGCGTGTTATAGTTTGGTGGTTTGTTTCCCCATCATATATTGATAGATGGTGTACATAGTAGGCCCCTATGTCAATGATGTATATTATAGAGTTAAATGTATTTTTTGTGCCTCACGAGCAGCATGATGAGTGTGCTACTTTGTTCTGTAGTGTAGGTGTCAGACAAGGTTCAATTTATGCGATTCCTATGAGTTTAAATGTTGAATCTAAGGAAAACATTCTTAGACCTAGCTATACCTCACCCCTTGTCGCATTTTATTTGAGATGTGGTGTGTTACCACTCACTTGGCCATCCATGTTAGCCCTAATGTGCAAAATTTTGTGGATTCTTAATTATCCACAGTATGGCTATGGTGTATGACATGTTGAAAGAATTTATGACCAAGATATGACTCTTTACGCCATCTTCAATCCTTCTCATTCCATTACTCCTGATGTGAATGAGTTTTTGTGATCATCGATGCCATGTTTAAGAGTTTTTAGCGATACTCACTAGGTCATTATGAGTTCCTCTTACCAAATTGCTATCTCTGATGCATGTGAGAATTCAAACGAGGAAAATAATAAGGCAAGAGAAGCCTCGCATGATCTTGAAGATGGCATCTCGTCTACCATGCATTGTCAAGCTTCATGAAATCAATCAAGGTTTAGATTTAGATCACCAACTTGCTTTCATCAATTCATTACTTTTTGAGTTAGATACCAAGTTGTCCATTTATCCAAGTACCATGATTACTTTGCCTGAAAGTAGAATGAGAAGCTTAATCTTGTTATAGAGGTAGCAATTTATGAGCTGACTATCTATCAAGCTTGAAATAGTCATTGTCAAGCAACCCCTTTATAATTGGAGATTAAAAACTAGGTAATCACCAAGATGAAGATACTCAATAAAGACAGTTTCATGAGGGAAGGGACTCATCTTCCTTGGTTAGCAAATGTTGTTCCATTCAAGAAGAATAATATAAAAATCCATATATGCATTGACTTCTATGATTGCAAGAAGGCATGCTCCTAGGAAAGATTTCCTTTTACCCATCCTTATGGTTATGGTTCCCATAACTTATTTTCCTTCATGGATAGCTTTTCTAGATATACATTGATCAAGATGACCCTTGAGGAGGAGCAATTTATTACATTTTGTTCTATGGTCATTGTCTATGGTTGTAAAGTGATGTTTTTAATCTCAAGAAAGTTAAAATCACTTATTAGCACCTTATGACATACATCTTTCATGACTTTTCCACTAGCATGTCGATATGTGTATTGTCTCGCAGTGTCTATGCCAATTTGACCTTTAGTATAATTTTCTGAAGTATGCTTTTGACATGTTGGCAAAACAATTTCTGAATTTTATTGTCCTACATCATAGCATAGAAATTGATCCTTCAAAGATCAAAGTAATTATATACATGGCTTCTCCCAAGATTTTGACCTAATTTTGATCATTAAGGCAAAATCACCTTCATGTATCGGTTCATCTCGAACCTTGCATACAAGTGAAAGCATTTCGTGGCAATCTTGAAGGACATTTGTTTTTTCTGGGATCAATGGTGTAAGGAGATTTTGATAGCATCAAGAGCAACTTGATGAACCCACTTGTTTTGGCTTCCCTAATTTCAATCACTTGTTCATTATACCACAGCCCTCAAAGAGCCTTTTAGTGCACTTTTAGCTCAAAAATTGAATAGAATATAAAGAATACTTTGTACTATCTTAGCTAACACATTATCCATGCAAAGTTTAAGTATCCCATTATAGAAAAACCTCCATCTTGCATTGATCTTATTGATGAAGAAACTTTGCCATTAAATCTTGTCATATAAGATCATTCTAATCTCTCGAGTAAATCTATAGTAATATTTAGTGATAGGCCTAATGTTGTTCAACTGTCTAATATGTTGGTCTATGATACACCTTCAATCGACATCACCATCATCTCTTAGTATGTCATCAAAGGATACTTTTGCTGACTTATTGGTAGCACATATTATGATGACTCATTATCTAATTTGAAAAAAAAAAAATCTTTTAATTTATACAATCAGAGTCA